CCTGGACAGCGACACCACGGCATACTCTTATATTGAATTCCAACTGCCAAGGGATCTTTTACGTGCATGCCAATGTGTACACGGGACCTCGGTTTTTCGTACCATCCGAATGACTAGACAGCTGTCCTTGTCAGGCGGAGCTCCGTCCTGCATCACTGACAAGGGGGAACCACGCCAGAAAATCTGGGTGAACTTTCTCGGCCAATGCAGGGATCGAACACCCGATCTCCAGGCTACCGAGCCAGCGTCTTACCCACTTAGCCACCGTGACCCCCCTGTATTCATTGGAGTCGGGTACATAAATACAGTGTCCAATAACAAATACTTCTTTGTATTTCAAGATGTCTTATATCCTTAAGAGTTAAAAACAGTTGTGTTTGATAACCGTACGAGAAAGCTTGTTGAAAGGTCGCTATATGCGTTCAGACCAACTTCCAATGACCGTTTTCCATATATATTGTGTTGTGTTTTTATTGTGCCCGATCGATAAAGGATCATATCCTTATAAGTTATAGATTGAAGATATCATATATTAACCCATTGATCTACTTGGATTTATTTATGACAATTGGATTTTTGCTATTTTATTCTTACATTCTCAAGTCATATCCTCTTAATATCTTTTGACAGCGAACCCGATGGTTTATACAGCAAGCAAATTAGTAAACTACACAATACCTTACGATCAAGATAATATTCATACGGCAGAGTTATTTGAAAGGGTCTGGCCTCCAAGACTGACAGGAATGCCGAATTCTTCTTATCATATGGCGACTGTAGACGTGGTCTCAGAAACTGGCTGCGCCTATCTGTGTTCTAATGTTCCTGGATGTCGGGGATTTGAATTGCTGTGTTTCACGCATTTGAAATGTAATAAATATTCTTGCACATTACTGTCCGGAGTACCGTAGGATATGAAATCGTTAAGAAGCCTAGCCATAAACCAATATTGCGACAAATCTGGTTTTCAGAGGAATTGTAACCTTATTATTATCAATAAATTTAGAAATTAATGCTGTAGAAATTAATGCGTGATGTACTTATATAGGTCACAGTGGTGTGCAGAGGATTAGTGATTACTGGGTCAACTCCTTGATTATATATATCCAAAAGATTCAATTATGGCCTAGTGCTCAGAAATGTGAGAAAGGAAGACATTCTATATGTCAAAACAGCTGAAATAACTTTTTATTTCATATATGTAAGACAGCTCGTATATTAACAGCGATTTTCGAATTTCAAAAAGTCTAAATTAAATTTCACTCTTTTGACCGCCCCCTTCCCCACCCTCTCTCCCGTCAAAAGGCAAAACCTAGTAACTCACTTTTTTCTTATTTTGAGAAAACAAAAGAAAACGTAATGAATGAAAATTAAACGCCAGCTCATCCATTGATTTGACTATTGAGTTACTAGGTTTTGCTGTGGTATACTAGGCAAATGAAGGAAGTTGCTAGGTTGTGTCATGGGTGTAACTGCTTACAATATCAAAAGATTGGAATATCTAGTACAACAACAGGAGGCACATACCCTAGTAACTACAAATTTGGTCCTAACTCATTTTTGATAAAAAAAAAAGTGAGTTACTAGGTTTTGCCTTTTGACGGGAGCTCTCTCTGCACGTCAGATAATGTTACTGCTGCTATCGACGACCACAATTCAAATGTTTGTTGTATTTGTTACTCTTTTCTTGCACTTATGTTTTGTCCCTCCAGCAAGTTTATTGTTATTGACTTGTTATTCCCGACTATGCAATAATATTGAGCAATGTTACATAACCAATAAATCAATGATTTATCTACGATTGGGTTTTTTATTGTTTCTTTTTCTATTGCAGCCCATTGATAAAAACAATAAAGCCAGTGCAATAAGAAAACGACATACGCATGCATCGATTGTTACGTTTATTTCTCAATATTTAATGATTACCAGACTTTGAATAGATTCGTGCCGCTTCACTAGTTGGTTGATAATCTCCTGACATTCAAACGTTTTTAAAAATTATCCGTCATCTATCCCATTCCAAATCATCGCCCAATTTACCCAAGAAGGGATCCATATATGCAGGGCCAGATGTACCTACCTGTGGGCCCTGGGCCAAACTCGTTAGTGGACCCCAAAGTGCCTATATTTATTGTACCAGTGGCCCTATATGCAGGGTCCTATACTTATTGTACAAGCGGTTGCCTGGCAAGATACGCCCACACTTTGCAAGACATGGATAGAGAACAAGCTAAAAAAAACAAAGCGATTTTTTGTACAATCAGGGGCCATAATTCAAGAAGTTATGGTATGATGTCCGAATATCGAAAGGGACTGAGATTTTCGGGAAATGAAGATATATTTTAAGTTTCATCAAAATCGGACAAAAATTGTGACCTCTAGATGGTCCACAACCTTCGTATTACATCCTTGTACATAATTTGTGTTCAAGGAACAGCCTTTTGTCGGGCAGTTTCGTTTCAATTTTCCCGAAATTCATTTTTAAAATCTGATAAAAAAAAATTGTGTCCTCTAGAGGATCCACGAGCTAAAAATGTGATTTTTCGTACAATCTGGGGCCATAATCCAGAAAGTTTTGGTCTGATATGTTCAAATATCCACAGGAACTGAGATCTTTGAGATATAAACATATATTTTAAGTTTCATCAAAATCGGACAAAAATTATGACCTTGGTATTAGGCCTACATACTTTTACACAATTTACGTCAAGGAGTGGCCATTTCAACGGGCAGTTATGGTCCGATGTTTACGAAATTCGAACACAATCACCATCAAGGTGTAATGAAGATATATATTTAAACGATTTCTAAAATCGGATAAAAACTGTAACCTGTAGAGGGTCAACAAGCTAAATTCGCATTTTTTCGTACAATCTGGGGCCATAATCAAGGAAGTTACAGTTCATTATGGGCTAATATCGAGAAGAACCAAGATCTTTGGGAAATAAACACATGCTTTAAGTTTCATCAAAATTGCATAAAAAATGTAACCTTTAGATGGTCCACAACCTTGATATTACATACTTTAAGATTATTTGCGTACAGGCAGCGACCATTTTGTCCGTCAGTTTCGGTCAAATTTTCACTGAATTCGAACTCAGCTTTTATAATAGTGTAACGGTGATATATTTAAACATTTGTTTAAATGGGATAAAAATTGTGTTCCCACACGCTAAAAACGCGATTTTTTATTTCAATTAGGGACCATAATACAGGAAGTTACAGTCCGATATGCGCGAGTATCGTTGGATAGGCCTAAACATATAATTTCAAGTTTCATCAAACTCGGATAAAAATTGTGACCTATAGAGTGTCCACAAGCCAAAAACGTGATTTTCCATACAATCCGCGGCCATAATCCATGCAGTTACGATCCGATACATGCCAATATCGAAAGAAACAGAGATATTTGGGAGATAAACCATGGACCTTATAAGGTCCATGGATAAACTTAAATTTCAAGTTTCGTCAAAATCGGAAAAAAATTGTGACCTATAGTAGGGTGCCCCACCATCAATAAATATTCCGACAATTACACAATATTTTTATATATACCAAGCCTTAAATCAGTTTCCCACAGTTATAGTCACTAAATAAACGGCCATGTAATGTTGTACTTAATAAGCTATGACCATTTAACCATCCATAGATAATAGACGGGCACATTTGAGTAAAACACGCAAGCTGTTCTACAGACCTAATGCGGCCAAGCGAATATTCACTGCGGATCAGTGGGTAAAACACGTGCCCTTGTTTTGAAATTAGTCTCGCTTAACCAGACTACCGACCATTATCAGCCTGATGGACAGGCTGGGATAATCAAGACTACTTTTTTTACGCAACATTTACATCACAGAAAGCCTGAACAGAGAGAGAGAGAGAGAGATGGGGTTTAACGTCCACTCGACACAAACTAGGTCATTTCGGGACTAACATATGGTTCAATTTTATTTCATCAATTCGCTTGCACGTAGTCGTCGGAGCCTTTAGAGCGGGGGGACTGGGGAGAGAGGGGGGAAAGATAGGGAAACTTAGGAAACCGAAGGCCTTGAAGAAAACCCACGAGGTTCTGGGACGGATCCAGGATTTTCAGAAAGGGGGGGGGTCGTGCTGCCAAAACTTGGGAGTGCGATGCCCAGCCCTCGGTGGGCGGACTGACGGGAAATCAACCAAATCACCAACCGGCTTGTTTCGGAGTAAATTACGACGGAGATCACTACCATTTAAAGTCAATCGGATATTAACTTTGACCTCTAGAGCGTCCACAAGATTTTTTGAAGTGTTCAAGGGCCATAACTCTGGCAGTAATTATCATGACCCTAAACACTGTGTATACATTTAAAGTCAATCGGATATTAACTTTGACCTCTAGAGCGTCCACAAGATTTTTTGAAGAGATCATGGGCCATAACTCTGGCAGTAATTATCGGAAATCACTGAAAATCAATAGGCCTCTTCATCTCATGACCACATCCCCACTCAGTCATAAACTTGCATGTTGTAGAGCATCTCCAACAGTCTATTTTTCAAAATTTTCTTGGCGAGGTCCCCAATGGACTCGCTACTTTGGCGCTTACAAGGGGAATTCGTCGAGGTTCGCAAGTCCGTTCGTTTGACATTCTGTTCTCTAGTCGGATAAAATAGTGATCAGACGACGGACGGTATCTGGTCAGATCTATTTATCTCGACGATCGGTGCCTGACAGAATACTGTAAGACAGCATTTCCGACAGTCTATTTTTCAAAATGACGCTCTTGATTGTGCTGCGTCGCAAGTCCGTTCGTTTGACACTTTACCTCATCGATCAGTGCCTAAAATACTGCCAGGCTGCATTTCCGGCAACGGTCTTTCCATGTTAATGAATGTCTAATTGATAGTTTATATAACATATCAGGCCCAAAAAAAGACATGCAATAGGCAGATTTAGCTCTTGCATAATGTATGTTTAAGTAATTATCATTTGTTTGGCTTCAAGTCAATTGGGTGATAACTTTTGTGAATTTAGCAAGTTTACATTTTTATTGAAAGAGTGATTAGTTTCGATCATTTACAGCATGTTTTCATGATACAAGAATGGCCGTCTATTCACTTTCAGTGTAAAAGACCTCATTTGACCCTGAATATCTCGAAAACGCCTATTTCTTTAGTCGAACAATCCTATCAAGATCTTTGAATTTCGAAGCACCTATCCCCCCTCCCCCCAGCACGATTCCATGCTGAAATGAGTATTTTGTTCCAACAAGTAGTAATCAAACAAGTAATTTCATACTACATGAGAAGAGGCTGACATTTCATGAATGAAGAAAACCTACACTAAATTTATATTTGATTTATATGTTTAATTTTCCCATTTTGATACATAATCTGTTGGGTAATCAGATTGTAAGACAACATTAATAAATCACAATGAAATCAAATGAATTAAAGATTACTTTAAGATGAGGGATGGGATGATTCTGTTAATTATCTAACAGAGATTAAATGGATATGAACATTTAAGAAATCTATACAAATTAAAAGAAAATTAAAATGACTTGGTGCTCCAATACAGACTGTGTGCTCTTTATAACAATAATAATAATAGTAATAAAAATGTACAAATTCAAAACTGAATACAAGTAGCTTGATTCCGATGTTTATAAGAAAATAAACTTTGCCACATACAATGCCTAGCACTTGAAATATTTTAGTAAAACACCGAACGCTTAAATAACGTTAATTTAAACAAAGATATACAGATTGTAATCAAAATGTACATTCTACACAGAAATTCAATAAACTAATGCAAGTTATAATAAATATTAGTATATCTATAGTAGATAAATACATTAATCTATTAATTCTCAGCAAATAGGATGTATAGGTTAAAGCTGAGGAGAAATGTAAATTATAATTGTATTTCAGAAACTGTTACAAGTATCACACACCAAATTCCAAGGAATATTCTAATATTATTTTTATTTTCGAAAATACTATTATCCAGTAAATGTATGTCTTATCTAGCTAATAACTACATATAGATATACATAATAGGCTTACCTAATGAACTAAAGTGATCTTCCTATTTAAGTTGAACAATACTTGTGTATTTTATATTACACAAAAAAGGCTAAACTGGAAATAATTTTTCTTAAAGGCACTTGAACTATAAAGCCATCTATATTATACCATCACAAAAACAATATTATTAAAACAAGGGCACTAACAATTCACACAATTAAGGAATTTGAAAATTCAAATATTGCTGCAAAGGAAAAAGAACTCAAGCTAGTTATCAAGTTATCTTGTTGTATGCTTTAGGGGAGAGGAACAACATTAAGCGTTAATAGACAATAAACAATTTGAAAGAAAAACAAATAAAGTATAAATCAACAGAATATATTCAAAGGAGAATGTATATTAAAACTACATAACAAATATATATATAAATCTTTCTATGTACAATAAGTCTGTACCATTTAAGTACATAATATATCATATATAAACTAAATTTGAACATTTTAATTCATATATATGTTCCTTTACTTAATATAATATTTTACATGTTGAACATGAGATATTCAAATACATGTACCCTTGTCATTATAAACACATGGGATAATAAGCAATACACTTACTCAAGACATAAACAAACAGGGTAGGAAAAGTTGTCAAACAAAAAAGCCAAATCCAATGAATAAAGAAACAAATATAGGGGCAACTCTGTAATGGTCGTACTATAGTCATTCTCAATATTTCAGTTTTAATGCATCATGCACGTATTTGACATTCAGTAATTACAATCCGCTTCTAAACCAGAAATATTTCAATAAAGTACGATTCTGGAGTAAGACAACCACATACGCTCATTAATGACATACATGTACTTTATAAACTATGTCTTTCTTTGCAATAAAAGCAGTCTTTAGGATTGTTTGCTATCTAATAAAGTTCAAACTTTTGCCATTCACTTATATACTGTAAAACAACCAATTTATTTTCATTTAACAGTCAAGATCTTTTGTTGTGTACGAAAACATCCTACATAAAAACAACAATAACAAATTTAGACATGTATTAAGCCACATTCTGTTTGCATACAGACTGTGAATAAGGAGTAGCAAATATTTCAACAAGTTAAATGTGGCCTAAATCTGACATGTAAGTAAATAATAATATATACTTTACTTATGGTCAACTTCTACAATAGATACCACAGAAACCACAACGCCTGCTTATCAAGAAAATAACTTAATTGTGTCTTTTTGTAGTTGGACTGCCTATGGACAAACAAGTCTGTATACGTTTATCCAAAATAACTACCCCCCTTATCTCATCCAACATCCCATGCCTAACCGAACCACATCCCATTTCAACCAATTGCTTATAAATCTAAAAACCCAAAATTCAAGAATGTAATAAAACAAGAATTTCTTTGACGCAATGAAAATCTCGTACATCTTTTATCTTTTGAATCGATCAACATAAGACTTGAAATTCTGCACTCAATATGATATGAAGAAGTAAAGTCTTGTGTAGTCAAATAAGCAAGCAAACTACTACACACTGAACTTTTTTCTGTAAAGTTTATTACAAGTTGAAATAAAGCTAAACAATATTCACTCTAAGCCCAGTCAGTCATCAGCGTACATGCAATATATTAATACAATTCATATATACAATTTCCACAATATACAATTTTCTACAAAAAAATAATTTTTTTCCTCTATTGCACATTTTAGTAAGATATATACATCTTTTACTTACATAATCAGTAAATATTCTATATTTACTTTGTTTAAGTTTACATATTATAAATATGTATAACAATCAACAATAGATGAGAATTTATTCCAATCTTAAATTCAAGCAGTGCTTATTCTTAACAGAAGCAATTTTAGTGCAAAATATCAAAGGATCATAACCTTTAGTGAGAAAGAGAAATTTTGTAAGAATTAATAATAATTGTGTCAAACACCATAACCCTTGTGATGCCCACTTCAAACTAAATTGAGTCTCAATTAGGTTTCTACTTTCAATATATGTAAAATAATTTCACTAATAATAGTAATAAGTTATAAATAAAAGATCTATTGTTGCAAAGTAATTTTAAACAAGAGCATCGCTACCCCTGCAATTTATGTCCACATTCCTGCTTTGATTGATATGTTTTTTTTTTAAAATGAAATATGAAATGGCTGCAACAAGAGGCAAAGAAGACTAGGTGTTGGGTTTGTTTTGCCAAAATTTACAGACCAATTATTAACAAAAAAGTGGATGTAACACTGCCTCAGGGGATCGGGTTATGCACCAAAATAAATAGTTTCTGTCTTTACCGTATAAGCAATAAATATGTCAAGTGAAAACAAATACAAAAAATGGGTGTGGCTCTGCCCCTGGGGGGTCGTGTATGCACCAAAAACAATAGGGATCATCCTTAGGGTATAAAGAATAAGTTGGCAAGTTTCAAGACGATCAGTTAAGAATTGCAGCCTGTAGGCAAGACACACACTGACAGAGGCGACGGCAATATATGTCCACATTATGAATGAATTTGGACGTTTAAAAATCTAACACAAAATAGTAACTTTGTAATAATAGTAGCCTATTTATACTAAAGGTAACATTTTCTGTTCTTAAGCTAAATCATAACTTTGTAATAATAGTAGCCTATCTATACTAAAAGGTAACATTTTCTGTTCTTAAGCTAAATCATTTGAATGCTTTGAGCTTATAAGCACATTTCACTTCTGCTTTGAAGCTATTTTATAACTGTCAATTATATCAGTACATAGGAGTAAACATACTACATTTACAAATAAGTGATCAGAATTATTTCATTCAAAACCTGACAGTAAATGATCATTCAAAATGAAGTTGGTAAAAAAGCGACTGTTTTAAAAAACACAGACAATTAGACCTAATATGTGTACTTGATAAAGGACTGAACTTTTTATTTATCAAAAATATAGAATGTCAATCAAGAGAAAATCTACTACTGAGCGCATATATTATATATGTAAGTGTGTTACTACTGTAACTTGAGGCTAAAAAATCCTTTCTTAATACCAAAAGTTAATTTACCAACTTTTTAAACCCAACCCTCAATAAATCCATGATATGAATACACATTAAAATTTCCACTATATATATATATTAGATATATTTGCATATGTGATCTGACTATAATTGTGAAGTATTAATTAGTGATGTATATAATTAATTAAACTAGTGAGGTATGATTAGTAAAACAATTATTTAGATATAAGTATTGGGACCTTCATCTAAATATGACCAATATAATGATAATATTGAGACAAGTTCTATTGTTTATAATCTAGAGGTATTATCTAATCTCAAATATAGCTTAAAATAAAATTAACAAAAATTTGAGTTGATTGTATCTTTGTTTATAAATAATGATGATTAAAATTGACCCATATTGAGATAAGCCTACTCTACTGTCAAACATATTTCACTGATTTCTCGGGATCAACAAAATACTTTCCTGAAATAAAATAAATAAAGTACATTGGTTGGTAGTAAATCCATTAAAAATGTATAACAAATATTTTATATTTTTCGATCTCCTCAAAATGCAGAAGTATCTGATACTTAGACAAAGCATACCCCACTTCATGCACAACATTTGTCACTACTTCCAGTTAAATGGAGATATTACTACAATATCTGTCTGCACAGTCACCTTACTCAAATTAATTAATATTATCTTTATTTCGGTCGCAATTTCATGCAAGTTGTTAGATCATTGAGTTGACGACGTCTTGGCGTAAATGGAAGATCTGCATTCTTTTTGGCTGTTTACACAATGATAAACCTAGTCATATATTAAACATACATTATGCAAGAGCTAAATCTGCCTATTGCAGGTCTTTCTTTACACCTGAAACGTTATCTAAATTATTAATTAGACATTAATTAACTTATTCAGACCATAATCAACTCTCGATGTCATTGTTAGCGAGCAAATATTTAGTGGATTTGAATACGTTTTGTGATGGATAATTTAACGTAAAAATGGATAATCGAGACATTGTTTATTATCGTACCCACGTTAGTAATGCTGATCAAGGCTAGCCTAAAATTGAATCGCTAATATCTCCGTTCAGAGAGAAGCAATTTGACTGAAATTTTCAGCATATTGTGTTTTCATTATCTATTTTTTAGCGATTATAGCGAGAACTGTTATAATGCCTCTTTAAAATCTTTAAAATATAAATTATGGAACACAAAACAAAAGCAATAACACTACTAAAATACCTAGATAAAATATAAAGACTTACCCGATGCAAATCGTTTCTTAGTTAAGGATAATCTATATCCACTACCTACTAGTTCAAACTCTAAACCAGATAGTGTAGCTCCTTCACAGATAAATTGTAATGCTGTAGTAGATGGGGTACTTGCACCAGATTTCATATCAAACTTGGCTCTAATACAACCTTGACTTGCTTGTTCACTAACATCAGATATATCATTTAACTTCCATGTAGCACGCTTGTTCTCTTGATTCCTAGAAAGTCAAAATCCAATTCATAGTTAAAAGTTTAAACATAGAATCACCTTGAGCCAGACCTGGGGTAATTACATTATATACATGTGTATAATTAATTACAAATGGTTCCACATTTTTAGTGAATATGTAATTAATTACAGTACTATTACAATTAATTTCACATTCTTAGTGGATATGTAATGCATTACAGTATCATTACAATTACTTTCATATTTTTAGTGCATATATAATTATTACAATATCATTCCATTACTTTCACATTTTTAGTGCATATGTAAATAATTGCATTATCATTAAAACTACTTTCACATTTTTAGTGCATATGCAATTAATTACCGTTATTATCTGTAAGAAATTAATTACCAATACCCATTTCTTAAAAATGCATTCCCATGAAATTATTTATAGGGTGGTTATTTTCAATAAAAGTATGGAAAATTGAGTATATATGGAAAGTTGAGACAAACAATCTTACTAGAAAAATACTGAATTCCCTGAAAAAAAACCATAGGGCAAGCACTTGGCAAAAATGTCAGGGTATCACTAACTGTCAGCCCGGTGGCGTATATTGTCAGCCAGCTTGACTTAAGCCTAAGGAGTGGTTGTTATTTCTTAATCGAAAGGTTAAGCAGTTTTGTAAACACTGAGGGGTTTAAACGTACAACAGACTCTGCAATTAATCGGTGGAAAAAGAAATGAAATTACATGGGGTTTAACGTCCTACGGTTGGCGGAAAAAGAAGATAATCCAAGAATTTACTTAGACTTCAATATGTATGGTAAATGGGCACTAAGACTAAGTAACGACAAATACATTCTGAAAATGGGCCCTTCCTTAAAGATACATTTAGGGAGATTAGATAAAGAGCTGGTGGTTCTCACTATAATGGACACTAAGTAACAACAAATACATTCTGAAAATGGGCCCTTCCTTATAAAGATACATTATGGGAGATTAGATAAAGAGCTGGCGGTTCTCACTATAATAGATAATGTAAAGGTTATTTGCTGAAAATTTCAGTCAAATTGATCCACTCTGAACTGAGAATTTAGAGATTGAATTTTCGGCCTAGCCTCAATCATCATTACTACCCATGTGTGTTTTAAATGACTTACCAGACACCATTGGGAATACTCTGCATTTTTGCTACTTCTCCTTCTATACTAGCGACTACTGTAATATTTTTAAGTGTAGCTGGTGAGGACATAGATGAGGGATTATATCTATAATCTAGACGATAATCTGTATGATTATCATTACATTTCCAATATACAACTAGAGGTATCGGTGTACTTTCTACACCCGGTGAATTCTTTACCTAACAAATACAAAACATTAATACAATCATTACTATACAAAATCATACTGCAAATAACTCAATTTTACTTTAATTTTATACCACAACAAAAAAAACAATTTGAATTATTGACAAATATTTCAAGGTGAAACTATATAATACTATTTATTTATAAAATCTGTCGTTATTTTGTAATTAAGTACATCTTAGCATAAAAAGACGTTTGGAGGAGACACAAATTTCATTTTTCATATGAGGTTAGCAATAGCTCCTCAAATTCCATGCTATGTTAAGTGTCAGGATCGCTGTATGTCTCTATATTCGTCGTGGGTGGTGTTTGTCACAATTATCAAGTCATTTTAACAAATGAAGAATGAATTTCCAGAAATATATATTGTAATTCTGATAGTGATTACGGTCCAATATTTTTAAACATAGTATATAGACCATATCATTACTGTCTCCAGTAATATCAGGGACAGAACCATTAACATTTATTTGGCTCCTTTTGAAAATCAAATTCTACGGCCAGTAATCTAATGAAAACCCCCAATTTACCTGATATTTCAAAATATCAATGTTAAAATAGGAAGCCATCTTATTTTTTTCCCCTTGTTGTTTGATATGGTCTGTTAAAGCAGCCATGTCAAATACATACTGTAAACCATTATTTTCAGTGTGTGTCTCATCTCTGAAATAATTACAATAATGCTTAAACATATCTCTTGAAAAATTTCATTCGATGCAATACGTGACATAGCTCTGGCAGTATGAAATATGTCATCCAAAAAGACATTCCAGAGGTTTTATTAAAGATAAATTATGTAAGATTCAGAGCTGATCGTTCTTGCTATAATGGTTAAAAAATAGACAATGCAAAATGAATATATTGAAAATTTCATTCATATTATTTTATTCTTAGCGAAGATCTTAGCCTTTGAAGATTTGACCAGATGTATGCACTAATTGTAACCATCGTACTGGTGGTTCGAAGCTTAATCTCGCTTTACCATTTTTAGATGTTAAATGGCTGAACTGTTCTAATCTACTTAAAATCGGACCTATCCAATGGTATCAAGACGTGATTACAGTCTTGTCATGTTAATATAATAATAAATGTCTAATTAATAGTTTATATAACATTTAAGGCCTAAAAAAAGACCTGCAATTGGCAGATTTTAATCTTACATAATTCTGTTTAAGCAATTAGCAAAAGTAAAAAATTCCCTTTTGGAAATGAAATCAAATGAAGTTTAACATCCGAATGTTCTGCACTGACTTGGCTTACAAATTCTTATTCATTTCTTTTGGGGGGTGTTTTGCAAAGACAGCCTTCTGATCTAATGGTACCACACGTCATCAACAATGTCGTAACCTATAATGCTCATCAACTGTTATTTAACTGTAGTATATTCTACTTACTTGACGAGTAGTTGTGAGTTAACTATTATATTTTCTAAACGACTGTGATTCTTCAGACGGAATGATAACATGGCTGGTGAAGGGTTGTCTGTAAACGCTCGAACAATACCAGCTGGAAACGATAGCATAACAGTACCCATTGTTTTTACTGTACATCTGAAAGGAAAATAACGTGCTTATTTTATTGAAAAGCCCAGTGTGATGATACAAACTATATAACCTAAAATTATGTACAAAAGTGTAGAATTTCTAAACAATATTTAACCAAGTTTCAACAAAATACAAGTAAAATAAAACCACTACTGGTTTAAACGGATTTCTTTGATTATAAACAAACTACTTAAAGAATAAAGATAAATTATGGGAGATTAGATAAAGAGCTGGCAGCAATTGCTATAATAGTTAAAAACTAGATAATGCAAAGGGAATTTGCTAAAAATTTCAGTAAAATTGATCCCCACTATGATCTAAGATTTTAGCCTCGATCATCATTATTTAAATCAACACGATAAAAAACATAGTCTCGATTATCTATTTCATGATTAAATCATGAATAAAAGTTCAGCAGCAAATCGGTTCCTAATCCACTAAATATCACAGGCTAACATTGCCATCGAGGGTTGATTATGGTCTGAATAAGTTAATTCATGTCTAATTAATGATTTAGATAACATTTCAGGCCTAAAGAAAGACCTGCAATAGGCAGATTTAGCTCTTGCATTATGTATGTTTAACTTTGCCAAATATAAATTTACCTATGTGTTTGAAATCACCTCCCGTTAAATAAAATCCATTCTACAATTAAATATTCCAATGAATAAAAAAGTTCTCTCTTGAAAATCTGACATATTTACTTGTATTTTTGACTGAGTTCATGTGTTTCGTCATGCGTTCGACAAAATCAGTGAAGCTGTTGCGGATGTGGTTTAACTTTGACAGATTTTGACAACTATGCATTGCAATCAAAAGAAAGCGCCATCATTTCAATCGTTTGAGTTTGGGCAACGAAAAGTATCAACTGAAGGCAATTACAAGTTTTTTAGTGTATCGTCAATTTGGTATTATTCTTTGAATCCAATGATAACCGTTTCAATGACATCTATAAGCGCGTTGCGGCAGCCCTGAAAGTGCCTTTTGGGTGGATATATAATGCTAAAAAAACCTTTAAGACCTCGTAAGAAGTGCACCATCACCTCTAGATTCGACAGTTTTGACCGTACTGTGATATGGTGCAATATTTATTGTTCATAATGTAAATACATTCTTTATCACCAAATATCTTTTATCGTAAATAATACTTAAATCACACCACAACCCCATAATTATAAATTCCCTGTACATATACATTTTTGGAAACCTTATAACACCTGGGCCCTTATTCACGAAAACTTAAACTAAGATACAATCGAAATTTTAAGAAATACTGCAATTCGATTGTATCTTAGTTTAAGTTTTCGTGAATAAGGGCCCAGGAACACAAATCTAGAGAGTTCCAAGCAAAATGTTTGCAATAACTCGATTTAGGGCCATATAAAAATTGTGATAATTGTCAAGGATATGCTACATTTAAACTAACAATTGTGAAGTTGACATAAAATTAAATATTGGGAAAACACTCAATGCATTCATCCTCGCCAAAGAATATGGTATTGGTTAAATTTCGATTTAAACCAAAATGCTGAAAACATAATGGACAAGGGAACATACAGAATTTTGGAAATCCATTAACGGTAATAGAGAGTTATCTCACTTCCTGTCAAACATCCTCAATTGATAACAGTATTTCAGGTGCGTGTTGACTGCTGATGCTGTATGACGCTCAAGACCACATGTGAGAAGCACACAAGCCCAATATTTATATTGTTAATGGAGTCCCAGGTGCCTGCAAGGGTTGGTGAGCGGGTGTTTACCCAGAATTATGGGTGGAGTGAATAGTCTGATGAGCAAAGAGATATGTTTGACATTGGTTGAGCAATATGGTTATGAAATAATGGAGACCAAATCTGTCCATAGTTTTGTAAATTGCATTGAAACCACGTGATTTTTTCCACTAGAATATAAACCCACACCCACATACCCTTTCAATTAGACCCTACAGGCATCTGTAAACCTTTAGTTCAAACACACAGGTAAGTTTATAATAACCAAAGTTAAGTAGTTTGTTCATAATTGAAGAAATCCACTTAAAATTTACGATGGTTCAAATTCAGGCAGTACAGATTTTCCACTTTTCTGTGTGCACTCAATTGACAATATAGTAGGAATGGAGTAATGTCTTACTAACACAATAATTTGATCATTTTCGGACTAACATACGTGTATATGTTATCTTATGCATGCTTGGGAGGAGAATTTTGCAAGGACAGTGACATTTTTGACAATTAATTGATTTGCACCGGTCAATGGTTATTTTACGTACATTCCAGTGCATTCAAGGGTGGACCTCAGTTTTTCACCATAACCAAAGTTAGGGCAATACTTTCCTTGTCATCCCCACAATTGCTGCCTCAAACATCATCCCACTCCGGGATTAGAGCATAGGATATACCATTGCAGGTTCCCTCAACTGATAAAATAACTATGATCAATGTTAATAATATTCACTTCTTTGCCTTTTATTTATTCATTATATATTCAGATAGATGGCAATGCATTGTTTAATACTTACTTAGTAGCATCATGACCTTTAAAGAAGGCATTAATTGTTTCTGTTAATGCTATAGCTATAGGAATAGTATCAGACATTCCTAATGTTAAAGGACTGGGGCCTCGTGATGAACCAACAGGTGTGGAGGTAGTATTAAATGTTACACTACCACTACTATCTGACCGAGACATAGGTGCTGGTAGCGGAGAACTTAACATTGGTTTTGAATTCTGAAAACAGAAACATAAGAAATATATAACATATACCCATTATGAGACATGATCCTTATTGTCACAAAAACATCCTGGTTCAAATTAATGTAATGTATTTCTAATCCGTGACATATTATCCACAATCGCTAATGGACATAAATCGCTAATATTTGGGACCTAGAAATTGACACAAATGGGTCGCATATAATAATGTAATATGACTGTGTATAAACTGATTTATATTCAATCATTTCCGTTTTTACTTCAATTTCAAATCAGTTATGTTCGCCGACAAATACGCCAGAAGTCTCAATCAAATGGCAATCTCTAACGTCTGGCTATTCAAGTCTACACCGATAGTATTTATTGCGCATGCTTTCCAGATAAGAATATGGAGTCACTGTTTGATATGACCTGTAGAATATGTCTAGCCTTGTTCTTCGAGTCCCTTGTTACAAATGGGGCTGAAACGCATTAATACATGATTCGTGTACCAAAGGTAAAATGTATATTTTGTCTTAAACATGGCTTTGTTTACAAATGCTATGACCTGCCACTTGACCCCAGGACTTTTGACCGTAACCCCTCAAGCGCACCTGCTCCAACTGAACAAAATAGCAATACTTTTTATGCCAATTCTGCAAGTATAGACTATAGAGTACAGATATTGTTAGAGTATAAAAATATCTAACATTAATGACAGTCAAGTGACAAGACATGCAATAGATCTTATGGCTGTGATATTTCCCTTATCAATTCACTTATTAGTTACTTTCATTACCCCGATTTTTCTTGATCAATACAAAATGACTTACTGGTAAAAGACTTTTTGTTCTAGAAGGTGGTCTAGCGATTACTGTAGGAAAACTTGTATTAAAACTGTTGTTAGTTATAGGTGATGTAACTTGACTAGAAGAACCAGGTGTTATTCTGCCAGGTATAGGTGGGGGGCCACTGTTGTTCATTTCACTAATACTTTGATTAAACATGTTACTAAAATCTACAAATTATATAGTAAAACATTTTCATTATTACATAATCATTGTCTTAAAATACTACACTCTTAACTGAAAGAAGCAATAAAAACGTGTCTAAAAAATCATCAGAGTAATTTGAGACTACCTATATAATAAAAGAGGAAAACCGTGGGAGTATGAAAATTTCATTGAAACTTTGTCAAGTATCATGTTCACAAGCTCTAAAATGTGACTGGAAAGAAAACTCTGATATGGTTTTTACTTATACACTAATGAACAATCCAATCCATACTGCTTTTAAAAATATGTCAAAAACTCTGACCTGTTTGAAAATGGAATGCAAACACAGCGATGTTCTGAATTTTACAAAAATCTATATGTCAGCTATGAAATATTAAGTGGTAAAAGATCACATGGCCAGACAATACAAGTCAATATTAAATGTGGGCATATAAAAACTACATAATATCAAAATATATTACTTACTAGTTGATGATAAGGTAGGTGATGTTATACTACTCTGTGTGGGGCTGATAAAATTAGAGTCTGTGAGTGGGGAAAGAGGTGATGGTAAGTTGTAACCGCTGCCAGTTGGTGTGGAAGCACTGGATGAGGCAAAAAAATCTAAATTTAAAAGATCTTGACTAGGCTTTGTACAACTGAAACACCAATAAAAATCTATATTACTATACATCGACAATATATTAATAGTTATGAAAACAAATGAAGATTTTTATCTACGTATACATGTATGTCAATAACAATAGTAAATTAGTATGTCAACAATTTATAACTGTAGACAAAGTTTCTAAATACAGATTTATCCGATATATTGAATTGTTTAAACAGAAATAAATTTCTATCATCCAGATCAAGATGCTATACAAATTTATTTCCGTTTTTGAAATTAATATATATTAAACTTCATTTGTTTTCTACATACACATGTATAAGTTTCATAGGGTGGTTGGATGGCCGAATGGTTAGTGTGTGCGCGCTGTATCATGAAGTCTATCATTGAGTCAACTGGCGTGGTTTCGATTCCCCGGGTGTACGTGACAAGGAGTAGGGTAGCTTGTCCAACCTCGTGGGTTTTCTCCAGGCCATTCGGTTTCCTCCCTCTGCTAAAGACCCCTATGCACAAGCGAATTAAACCCCATTTCTCTCTCTCTATGTATAAGTTTCACACAAAATATAATCAAATACTGCCATGTTATTTCTTACTCTTCTTTCTATTCAAAGCATTCAAATAAAATGCAAAAATAATGAAATCAACCTTTGGGCATTAGAAATGTATTTTTGTATTATAACTATAAAAAACATTTTTGTATTATAACTAAAATTAAATTTTTGAGATTTGATTAAATTGATATAATATTAAATCTTATTCTGAATATCTACTAGTACTAACTAACAATGAACACAATAGACACCTGGGGTTTTTAACCAAAAACAAAGAGTTTATAAGGAAAGCTACAGCAAGGAAGGATGACAGCAATAAGCGTTATGTAGGGTACCCACATGGCCAGAAAGTTGAACTTAAATGACAAATTGTATTATGTAAGCTCCAGTATTCATATGCTGTAGGTAATATTCATCTATATAAGCTTGTCATATAAGCTTATACGAATACAGTGCAATGATTATCAATATTATTAGAGATTTTTATTTACACTGTGGGGAATCCTACTTAATGCAATGATATTAAGCCTACACCTAGAGGAATATATTTTTTCTTACCATAACATACAACAAATATACTAACTATCTAATCTACCGGTATATTACCAGTACCAACTAAAAATAATTTACAAACAGGGAGAAATATACATCATAGCCAGTTGTATATAAGCTGAGGGGTTGGAAATAAAAGAAAGCACATTGCTTTTCATTTGAGAAAAAAAAAATACTGAACCATTTTCAGTTTTGAATTGATGTAAATATATATTTAAAAGTTTAAAAACTTGTATTTTTTTCTAAGTTGTCCAATTACCTGTGAACTTTTATTTTCATTGATATTTTTGATTTCAAAATAAATTGTTCTTTGTATTAATATAGCTTTAATATTTATAAATTATATAAGATACACGGGTGAAGAATAATAGTTAAATAAAACAAAAAGCTGGTGAGAGAACACAGGAAGATTGGGTTTGAAAAACTATAAGGATGTGGGATCTATAATTAACATACATGTAAGTACTGATTATAATAATAAAATTGTAATCTATTATATATGTATTTTTAAATTGAATTCTATAAAATCTATTTTATAAAATATGTCAAATAATACCCACAAGTATTTAGCTTTAAAACTATACATAGATAAAGCAAATAATATTAATAAATGTGAAATTGAACACAGCATTTCTCTACAACACTTCTAGAGCAATTGAGTTTTTTTAAAAAATAAAACAGTGACAACACATGAGCACAAAAAATATATTTAGATAAAATGTTAAAATTAGTCAAACTAGGGTTTTATTATTAGTTTGTTATTGTTTTTAAGTGATGGATCAAAAAATTGTGAATTACTAAACCCAATATTAAAATAGGTAGAACAGATAATAAAACTTACTCTAAAGTATCAGATTCAGATTGTGATCTCTTCATTTTCTTATCTATTGGGGTTTGACTTCTTCGTCTCTGTAATAAACAATGCTGAGTATGATACTAGTATTTAAAATACAATAAAATTACTGTTCTCTGGTCACAATCACTTTATTGCTTTCAAGTTGCATAGTCATAATATTCTAAGTCACAATGATTTCTTTTATATCAGAACAAAACTTAATGTTCTATTGGTGCTCATCAAAATGACATCCACCACAGATGAGGGCTTGCTAGGCCCACTGACAGCAAAATCATACATTCTAGCTCTAAAATAATTTCCAATAAATCCGGCAGGACAAGTTTAAAGAAAATCAACAATGAAATCTTGTCAATGAAAGGCTTCTAGTTCTTCCTAGAACTATTATAAACAAAATATGCATGATAATCAAATGATAACATTAACTGTTCGAATGATCAGGTTGAAAATTAAACAGAAACACTGTGCATAAATTTAAAGTAATTATCAGTAATCTTCATTATATAAACATTTACACTGTGTATAAATTTAAAGTCTACAAAATTCAAGAAATTTAGCAACTAAGTTTTTCTAAAAGGTTAAAGCGGCATTAGGTAAGATCAGATAAAGAGCTGACAGTTCTTGCAATAATAGCTAAAAAATAGATAATGAAAAGAGAATATGCTGAAAATTGTAGTCAAATAACTTCACGCTGAGCCAAGATATCTGCGACAGAATTATAGTCTAGCCTTGATTGTCATTACTACCGTTGTTATGATAATGAACAAAGTCTCGATTACCCAATTTCATGGTAACCGCATTGACCACAAAACATATTTAAATCTACTTATATCGCAGTCATCTGATGGCATTGAGACTTGATTATGGTCTTGTTAAGATAACTAATAATTTATATGAATAGCAATCTTCATAGACACAATATGCCAGATTACACAGCATGTCGGAATACTCAATTGCCTCAATACCGAAAGTATTATACCAGAAGTATTATTGTACCTTTGAATACTGGAAGTATTATTATAATGCACCCTCGAATACCCAGTACGATCACACATTATGAACACGATATTATAATGATAGTGATTCTTCATCTCAGCAATTTATATATGTCACTGTATTTGACGTGAGAAACTCAAATCAAATACCAAGCACTCTCTTACAAGAGATTATAAAATTATCAAGGTAATCAACAAAGACTGACAAATGTTTTTTGCTCACAGATAATTGATTGGTGATTGCTTGCCGGTTAACACCCACTGATTGAAGGCCAGATTATCCAATGTTAATTGAACACAAATCGTGTTTCGGGACTGCTGATTGATGTCATAATTCGGAACATTCAGTATCTAGGCTACTCAAAACTTTTTTGGTGTAAGTAATATAAGGAAATAAATCGGGACATGAAAATGATAACAAATTTCACAGAATGCAGTAATATTCATGTCGAAAGTGACAGTCGACTGTACCTTGAAACGACTTTAAGACGCTGCCTCCAAAAGACAATACATACCAATATATGTACAATATATATTTGGGTAAAAGTTTACTTACAATGGCTGTAGGTGATAATCTTAAACCTTCTACGGAAGCCTTGATATCTTCCACAGTACCAATAATAGGTGTAGCACCATTTGGACTTAAAGGTCGAATCTCTACTTTTATCTTTTTCTTTGATTCATCCCCGTCTAAAAAAAAAATAGTTTTCATTTTTGAGTGAAGTCTGTATCACTACAGACCCGGGACTGTACAGCACAGTGGACGCTTATGGCTAGCCCAATGATCCATTCACTTAATCTGATATGTACGTTTGTGATTTCTACATATTGTGTCTTGGCTGTAGATTTGTTTTGTGTAATTGTGTGTGGTGCATTCCCCAATACTTTTTTTGTGTAGGTGCTCGCATATTCATACTAGCCAAGTTATAGTGTAAAGTGGGGGGTTGGATGGCCGAATGGATAGCATGTGCGCGCTGTATCATAAGGTTTGTCATTGAGTCAACTGGTGTGGTTTCAAATCCCTGGTTGTTCGTGACAAGGAGTAGGGCTGCCTGTCCAACCTCGTGGGTTTTCTCTGAGTCCTCCGTTTTCCTTCCACTGCCAAAGACCCCTACATGCAAGCGAATTATTGAAATAAAATTAAACCATATGTTAGTCCTGAAATGACCTAGTTTGTGTCGAGTGGACGTTAAACCCTCTCTCTCTATAGTGTAAAGTGATTGTCTTGATTACTAATTCACACATACAATTAAAGAATGAAACCCTGTAAATGGGTATAACAACCATTAAATTAGGATACATTGTCAAATTTTAATGTATGGTCAATAGGATACATTGTCAAGTTTTGTCGCATGATAAATAGGATTGTCACATTTAGACACATGACAAACGATACATTATCATGTTCTATGTTTAAATAGGACAAATTGTCACATTTTGACATTTAATTTACATAGACACTTTTAATTTCGGCTTCTCAAAGTCATTATGAATATTAGATCTATATACATACCTGAATCTGTATCACTATCACTGGAGTACCAACTATTTTTATCTCCATTATCTACACTAGTTAAAGATGCATTATGAAAGATTTAGATAAAGAGCTGACAGTTCTAGCACAATTCCAGTCAATATCAGGGAATATCAAATTACTTCCATCTGAGAGATGTTAGGGCTGTTTAGAGAATAGCGGAGTCTCGATTGTCATTGTTATTATAATAGTAAACAAAGGCTAGATTATCCATTTTTTAATCAAATCATTAACCGCCAATCATGTTTAAATCTGTTGAAAATCTCAAGGATCAAGAGTTGATTATGATCTGACAAGTTAATATATGAAGAGTCCAAGGGAAGATCGATCTAAGTCACATAAAAGGCAAAACAGACTTTTGGGCGAGAATGGTTGACGCGAACAGAACAACGAGTGGGTTTAATAACAACTTTAAAATGATTATTACCAGTACAACAACTGACTTCCACTTTTCAGCTAAATTAAGGTCAAATAAAGGGTACGATTGACTTGTATTTGTCCGTGAGGCCATTTCAGAAGGGCCTTGGTTCGATGTGACTCCGATCGTTTTTACGTGAAATTGATCTTTCCACAGAAAGCTTATACAATTTGCTACCAGATGGCGCTATTAACTGGGGTTTGTTGAAAAGGTGACTTAGATCGTTCTTCCCTGGGGCTCTTCATATGTCTAATTAATAATTTATACAACATTTACGGCCTAAAGAACGACAATAGACAGATATAGCACTTGCACAATGCATCTTTAAGTTTATAACATAAATTATAACAAAGGCTGGGTTATTAACCCTAACACTTCTCTACAACACTTCAACATAAGTAATTAATATTTGGTTTTATTATTTATTAGCAAAATGGAAAAAATTTGGGATAGGCATATTTTATCTATAGTGAAGAAGGTAAGAGAGATGGTTAGTCAAAACTACCATATTTTCAATAAAGTTAAGAAGGTAAGACTGATAGTTACTCAAGACAACTATATTTTCCAAAGTACAAGATGCAGAGGTGCACAAATGACAGTTTTGGACTTTAAAACAACACCCAAATCATGTATTTTCTAATTCAGTAAATGAAATGAGATTTGACTAATATTTTCAAGTCTAAAATTCATTTTTACCACAAAGACGACATGGAAAGAAATGAAATGAAAACTGGTCTTATTTTTTAATAAAATTAAATGCACCATTTAAAATGTAGGGTGAGGTGGTCACTTGATGTTTGCAAACAAAGGGAGCATTACAAAATACAAAACACTGTCTAAACTTAAAGGCAATCGAATATTAACTTTATTATCATCAATCGTCTGGTAACATTATCCCCTATGTATCCAAAAGCAATTGGCGGACCAAGGATGAAACAATGGATGGATAGACAGGTGTGGTAACCACAATTCCTTGAGAGAATACAGAAAAGTTAAAAGGATACGATCAATTGTTCCCTCTGGTCTGATGTTATACCCTTCTTCATCTACTTGTGGTGTAGGCTATATTTTGAGACAAAAATATGATATTTATTAATTCTATTGTTACTCTCATTATCCCAGTTGGTATAAAAAAATAGAATTTTAAATAAATTATATTGTGAGGATGAAAATTTTAGTTGGACATAGCGTTTCTGTCTACTCTACTTCAAATTCAACTTGCCAAGGCTTCTTTTACGTGCATGCTAAGGCATACATGAGTGGACCTTGGTTTTTCTTAATATCCTACTGACTAGGCTCATTTTCATTGTCAGCTCTGCAATAACCCCACCCCCTCCTGACAAGTTCACCAGGCTTACAAATCCTCACAGTTCTTCTCAGTCCATGTTGGGATTCAAACTCAAACACAGTATATTCTGGATAAGAGGGGCAGTAGCCCAGCACTAGGTTACCATGTCCACTGTTGCAATTAACTTACAAAGTTTATTACCATGTTAATTCTCTGTAACATTTCTATCACATATATCTAGCCATACAATTGTGTACAGTAATATTTCAGTTGAGTGCGTAGACATGTCTTCCTCATATCCAAAATTCAATCTTAATTCTACAATTAAATTATTAATGTCATAAAAGTAAAAAAAACCATTACTGTATAAAATAAACTTACATTGTCAGGGTGGTCATTATCTCTGGAAAAAAAAAATGTGGGCATATCAAAAACAGGTTAAGTTTCCAAATGAAAAAAAGATTTGTGGTACATAACAATATTCCATTGTCAGTTACACAAATAAACAATTTATCATTTCAACTAAGAGTTTGACTATGTTTCTTCATGAAGGGGTTAAAAGTCTACGAAACAATATACTAGATTCTGACTTTATGGGCATAAAGAGATGTTTAAGTTTATTTGGTAATCAACCTCTTAAAATTGTGTATATGTCATATAAAGTAGTGGTAACAATAGCATAAATATGATCTCATTTATAAAATATCTTTTTTAACAGCTTCACAAATTTGAAACACCTACATAGATTCATTGTCCTTATCATCTTTTTCTTTTTTCTTCTTTTTCTTTGTTTTTTCTTTGCGATTTTTCTTTAAAAACCCTTTTTAAAAATAGACAAAGGATAAATACTAAAGATTTTAGCAATACATATATACCATTCTAAATTTAATAAGACAGTAAAAACGATGTTAGTAATGGCAGCATCCATATAAATATGTATATAATATGTACCATGCAAATGGTTAAAATCTGCTTTGCCAATTCAAATAATGGGGATTATTTTTTATAAGATTTAAATTAATCAATATTTTTTTTCATTTTAATACTTTTAATAGATTTTTATGGGTATATAAACAAATATAAGACATTTGGAATATCTATAAGGATTACTAAGTTTTAGGCTTTGTCCAAAGTTTTCAGAAATGTTCATAAAATTTACAATCAACTATAATCAAAAACATAGAAAATGCACAAAAACACTAAGCTTTTGCTATTTGCAGCTAAGAAATTATTTTTTTAGCTCGAAAAGTTAGTAAATAATTAAAAATTTATTTATTGTTATAAACTAAAGGATTACTTTATAATTTTCTTTCTTTTTTTTTTTAACAAAAGGAGTACGCAGATATAAAATGATAAGATTCCACAACCAAATGACAACATGTATTAATTCTAGTAAGTGTGCACATTGTTTTACACACATTTAGATAGAATAGGCATTAGAACACTCTACTAAGTCTACACACCATGTAATAAGTATTCACACCACCACAAACAATTAATGTCAATTCTACAAGTCTATAAAGAATATAATTCTAAGATAGAAAGCACAGAGTATCTCTAACCATAATCACAAAATAATTCTTAACAACATACAATATTCAAGAAATATTCCCAATAGAATGCAAACAGTTTGAGAAGCTTTCTAGTATATTGTACAATAATCATGTCCATCTTTTTATTTACAAAGTAATATTATAACAAAGTAAATCGAAATGACACAAAGTTTATTGAAAATTTTGATTTGATTTAATTTTATTACAGCCTGTAGGAATAATTATTTTCTTTTGGGACATATTAAAATAAAGAATGGAATCAGATAAATTGATGAATATTAGTTTACTGATATTTTTTTTCAAATTTAACAACAGATGAACTTTCTGTTGGCAATAAAAGATAAAATAGATAATTTGGGGCCAGCTCAAGGTCAATAATGTTCTCAAAAAAATATTGTTTATAAATTCAATAGAGAATTTCTGCATAAGTTTTACTAAGGGGTTACTACATGTTTTAGAAAGTTTTGGCTTTTTCAAAATACATGAAATACAAAAGCAAAGCAGCCAAAGAAAGCTCGAAATTCTGAAAAAAAAAATGGTCTGAAAAAATAGAAGTTGTTAGTAAAACAAAAAAAAACATACGAAATGTGCAAAAAAAATGAGATTAATTTAAAATGAATATATACATAATCTGCCAATGTTGCCTTATTCAATGTTAATCACAGGTTATAATCTTTCTCATGTTGTAGTATGAATTAAGATGTGATTGAAACTGAATTCAACAATAATAGATACTGAATCAGGTTATTTTCTATATCAAAAATGCCTGTTTGCAATTGAAGCAGTCTTTATAGAATACTATAAATGATAGTAGCATACATTAAACTGATCATTATGTTACTGTAATACAGTATTAACAAATTTTCTACATGATAATTTTCTTCAAGATGGACTTTTTTTATTTAAAACTTCATGTTTTCTTAAATTGAATCTATATGTACATGTATATGAATGATTAGTAACCAAAGTGATTAACAAAATAATATTAAATGAATAAAACAACACTGATGTAACCAGGTGCAACATTCTAAAATAGGTATGTATATGTAACATATGTTCTAAAAGAGCTCTAAATTACATATATATGTACGGTTATAGGATGAATATTACAAAACAAGATTGATCTGTAAAAACAAACAATTTTCAGAAATATTGAAAACTATTTTTTTTTTTTTTTTTGTAACTGAATAATAAATTAATAATCATAAATTGATGTTTATTTTTATGGAGAATCTTGCTTCAAAATTTACTGATCAAAATTGTTTTATTATTCCAGAAAAACATGCAAAAACAGGAAAAAGTGCAACAAGCCCATATTTCCAACAAGATATATATAGCTAGATGATGAGGATTATTTACATGTCCGAGATACTCGTAGTTTGACACTTCGACTTAGTGGGCCGGGTTGATCCGACATCACTGGGCTCGGACTACCACTCGAGTCTGGAAAACAGAGGCGCAAGAATTGAACCTCTCACCTGTGCAGTGCATTTGACATGATAAATTCTTACATGCGAGAGGCATCTAGTAGTAGAATATAAGATAATGATTCAACTACAAATTATTATTATTATTGTTATTTTGTCTCTGCTACATAGCTGAAAAGATCCCCAACTGCATAACAGATAAAGTGTGATATTAATATCAAAGATGAATACATGAAATGATATAAAATTTAATGAATATTGTTAGGTTGCAATATAAATGAGATATAAAGCTGTCCCAAGGAATATGTACAGAATAGACTATAACCTTGACTACTATTTAATATATATCACATATATATAATTACATCATTATACAGTTATTCAAAACAACAGGAATAACAATGAGGAAATCACATCATGGGGGGGGGGGGGGTATGGGGTAGGTATCTATCAGATTTTGTATCTTTTCCTCTTTTTATTTTGGCAAATATCATTTACATCATAAACCAGGTTATCTTTAATCAACAAAATTAATCTGTTTGCAAACAATAATTCATATTTGAAAAGACAAGCCTACGGTTTTCTTCTTTATTTACCTTTTGAATCCACATGCATCTCATGACTCAAGAATTCAGCTGATAATTGAATTTTTAAAATTATTTTCCAATTAGGAAAACATTGCCACTCAAGAAACAAGTTTTGGTTGCTGACAATTTTGTTTAACAATCATCAGATGTCAATGTTTATCGAGGGTAGCAAGTCAAGACAACAAATGTCTAATTACCAATTTCATCACAATGAACAGATAAAATTTCCATAAACTACATCATGACGCAACAACATTAGATGCATATGAACTGAACAAACTAAAACTTAATGTGCAATGAAACTGAAAAGATCCAACAGAATTAGTGACAAGGTCCTACATCATATAATAAAAATACTTTACCAGTAAACAAGGCTGCCTCTGTAAAGGAACATCAGAATGTGCTCAGGTAAACAGGAATGCATGCTCAGATATTGTAGGGATTTGTTAATTAGGAATTGACACAGAGATATCTCCCCATCTGTTCATAATTATTGAGAATTTTGTAATTTGGGAACTGAATTCATTTACAGACAAAGGAAACGTCTCATATCACAATTCCCAATTTTGACATTTGTGAAATTAAAATAAGAGATTTTTAGTTGAATAAATGTAATGATGTTTTCCCATTATAAGTGCTAAAGTTTTGATTATTACCAAATATGTGCTAACAAAAAAAAAACATAGCAGTTAATCCATGGGTTCCAACTCCTTCATATATGATGACAGTCTTGATAGTTTCAAAATGAACATAATTTTCACGGGACACCTTGATCAATATAAACGCATTTAAACTAGCCAAGTATTCCTCAAAACCCAATTTTCAAACATGCCACGGTCAATCTCCATAACATACTTGTAACTATAAAATTGAACAACCTGTACAGAAGTGCACATGATGTATAGAAAACCATGATTGGTGTTACTGAATAGCATACATAGTTGTCAATAGAGGATTATATTGTGTGATATATTACTGATGAATATTGGATGGTAGAGCAATAAAGTTAATTTTTAAGCGAGATTCTTATCAAATGACACAAATAGATCTATTGTTCGTCATCTCTTATTTAACCACCTTGGCAAAGTCTGTGTGTCAAAGGAATTTTAAAAAACAAAGCTTCTACAATGGTCACAAATGGAATAAAAGAGATTAATTTGATCTTCAGAAATAAAGGCAATCGGGTACAAAGAACTACTTTTCGGATTTTATTTCTTTATTCCAAAAATAGAAACTGTACATTATCATGACAAATGTGCATGTGAATTCATGTGTAAATGAAAACATGAAAAATGAATTTAAGTATCCGTGCGATATTGAAAATGACCGACAGACAAAACTTTGAAGCGAAAGCCCTAAATTAATGGTAAATACTATACTGCAACATTTAAAAAACATTAACTAGAAGCCCCATCAAATTAGAATTCATTGGATAAATTTGTTCAATTTACACTATAAAAATGCATTAAGAATTGTATAATGTTATACCTCAAAAGATTAGTGCCTTTTCTTTTCCATAAGCAAGTCAAACATTAAAATAGTTCACACAAAAGAATATTAAAATAATCTACGAATAACTCTACCTTGTCTTTGTTTATCTGTTAAACTGTCTTTCTTTTCATTTGGTTCAGGTGACATAGGTCGTAATGTATTTATACTGGATAAATCTGGCTCCACAAATAATATTGGTCCTGATATAAAAATAAACACATTGTATACATATAAATTAATAAATTTGAAGTCTGGTTTTCATAACAGAAAATTTATGAAGATTGCGAGTAAAAAAACCCTATTCAATCTTACGCAAAAATAATCACAACATCTCTAAGAAAGACAATCACAAAATTTGAAAAGTATTACATGAATAGGAGGCACACAATGATTTTCTTGTTAATCAGCAATATACTGATTCAGTTAATAAGAACTTGGTATATATTTCATTTATATACTTACATATACCTAGTTCTTTTTGACTGTTAGTTACATATTTCAGTCTTACTTAGGCTACCCAGAACAAATGAAACATTACACCTCTTTCTTTTTGACTATCAGTATTGACAGGAGAATCATTGTAGAAATTACTAAATTTTGCTTAAAAACCTTACATAATTTCTTTTTTACTTCAGACAATGTTGTGTTGTAATAAAATGTATTTCTAGATAAATAAATGCAGTCTTTGAGCCTCAAACTAAAAACATTAGTGATGAGGTATTAAGAAATTAACCACACTATCTCACAAACAGTTCATCTTAATTTGAATTGATGAAATTTATTTCTCATGGGCAAGTAATTTGTTATATTGATTTTCATCGTCATTTCCCTGGAGATATTGGGACTACAAGCTATTCAAACATTAAAGTCTATACTTTTTAATGAAAACGGCAATTTATAGTAATCAAAAAATCTTTCTGGATTGTTGGAACCAATATAACAAACAAAACCTCATAAATCATTGATTAATTCACAAATAATCTTAAAATTGTTACTTTATTACTATTTAATGAAAATAGCAGTTTTCAGAAGCAAAATATTACTTTCAACATTGACTGTATAACACCTCATGAAAAATTGTAAATAATTAGTTAGGCCACACAAAATAAATGTCTTGTTTCTCGGGCAACTGACAGCTGAAACTGTAGGGAGGGAGGGTGGTTTCTTTTTTTTTTTTTACTCATTGATGGTGCAAAATAAAATTTGGCTATTGCTGAAAATTGTTGGGGCGGGAGGGCGGTCTTTCTTTTTTTTTTTTTTTAAATGAGAAAGTCATTACTTGTTTACGTTTTTGCTTTCCGTTATATTCAACTTTATTGTACATACTTAAAACATAAACCCAAAATCAAGTCTACTAAAACACTGAGACTGAACACTGACTGAAAGGAAAATAATTTTCCATATTTAATTCACATAATTGAAATTGGTTTAAAATAAAATTCCATATACGACTATGTAATAGCCCTCCATAAAGACAACAATATTTTTAAAAACTAAGCCTCTTTCACCAGGTGTATCAAAAATAATAATCATGGTAAACAGTATTTAAAACTAAATCTAGTATCGCCGGTTTATTTATAATTATTTACCGAATTCCAACCAATGCATGTCACACCGTGTCATCGGTATTGGAGATTGCCGGAAATACTGTTTCTTGGGATATTCGGTGTGTTTCTCAGGATATTCGGTGTTCTATCCGGTGTTTATATTGAATGACTATTTAAATCTAACTAACAACTGGTCAGTAAAACCATCAAATCGGTAATCCAATTATTATTTTCCGGATTATCGAAACTACCGTAAATGTGCTAATAATGACCCAGATTCTAAGGTATGCATTATGACGACTATCGTCATCGTATCGTATTCTTAGCTATAATTAATTAACCTGTTCTACGGTTCATTATTTTATCAATAGGATTTTCCAAACAAGGACCGACTGAAGCCGGCAATAATGAGCCGATTACGATCGAATGATTGAAATATTGTCGCCAATGACTTTTAACACGAATCAAATTCTAGTTTATCAGGGGAGGTAATTAATATCACGTGATACAAAATGGAGGTTCTTTCGATATCAATAAAAAAGGCAAATCTGCCAAACTTCGCCATTGTTCGGATAAAAAAGACAGCATGTTCATCTGAATCAGTTTTAATACATTTGAATAGATATACATGTATGGCGGATGTAGGTACATGCGGGATATTTTTTTTACGACTTGCTTGTCGATGTGCGGGCGGGCGTTACATATTTATTTTTTTTCATCAAGACTAATAAATAGACTGCACGCGCAACCAATTTTGCGTGCGGGCGGTGCCCGAGAAACAAGTTATTTTATTTGTGTTGCCTTATATATAAAATTCGCTGTTACCCACAAGTAGATAAGTGAACATAGCAAGCCCTGAATAGTAATTGCAATTTTATTTCCAGGTTTTAGAGACTCTAATAAAATTATCAATTATTCATTTATCCTGTTCTTTTCTTGGTAAATAGTGACATGGTTATCATTCGCCATACAAATAATTACCTACGAGATATTTTCCATATTTGATACATGTATATTTGTTTAATTCATGTCGATAATATTCCTCAATAATTAACTCATTCATCAGCAACGTTTATAAAGAAAACTGTCCATGATGCATGCGTCAAAATACAGGGGTGACAGCAATATCAGACCAAATTTCAATGTGAGTGTCCTATAAATTTATAATTCATTTACTTACCTGGTTTTTCTGTACCAGTTTGTTTATGTTCAATAAAATTTGCAAATAATTTCTGAATTGTTAAATCATCACAAGTTCGTTTAAATTCTGTGTGAACCTATCAAAATAAAAATACGTCTATAAAACTTTACAGTCTTTTGTCTGTGATATCACTTTGGTGGAAGCAGATGTTAAATAAAGCTATTTCACACACAGCAATGCATAGCCAATATCATACAAAATATTGAAGCCAGGCAATAAAACATATGCCCACAACAGTAGTAGTCCTAGTAGTCCATAAAGGTTGTCGCAATTTCTGTTTTGTAGGTAAAATTTGATAGGCGAGATGCTTCTTGTTCTTCCTTTTACCAATTACTAAACATGTATGTGTAATCAGATAATAAGTTAAAGCTGTTCAAGTTTTAAGAAATCAAACAGACTTTTTCATCTCATGAACTGTGTGTATAAATTCCAAATCTATCTGATATTCCTCAAACCCCGAGAGGGTCGGTAATGGCAGGAACTCTCAAAGTCTTTATAGGAAATCATTGAAAATATACATGATCATCTCAAGAACATACAGATTTTCACATGTATTAAGTTAAGAGGCAATCAAATGATAATTGAAGCATCTAGAATATACACAAGCTTTTACAAAGTGTTCAAGGACAATAACTCTAAAAGTAATTATCCGAAATTGTTGAATACAAACATAAATATTGCAAGAGTCTACAAGATTTTTCAAAGAATTCAAGGGCAATAACTCTAAAAGTAATTATCTGAAGAGTCGAAAAAGATATATGACAATATATCAACATGAGCACATAAAAATATTCATGTACAAAGTTTCTCTGTGTTATCATAATGAAAACCACAATATTAATGTTTCTGTAGTACGGTACAATTCCAGTGAATATAAGTGGATTATGAATTCAACCAAGCGAAAACTTATCAAGCCACATGACTGTTATCTAGTGAGGAATCACTTAAAATTTCTGGTCAATCAGATTGACAACTAAGACATTGATTTTTAATCTAATATACTAGTATTTATCTATAAATCATGTAGAATGGTATTTTTTATTCCTTCTTTACACAAGTGATTAAAAGATTATACCTGTCCCAATAAAACATGCTGATTTTCCCAGGATTTGGTATAAGTATCAATAAAATCTTTCATTTGACATATATGCTCTTCTTCTGCTTCTTGAAAATGCTGAAACGAGTCCAAGAAAACAACCTGTATGGCATGAAATAAAACCAATAGATGATAAAAATCAAAGGAGTGAACTGGGAATTATTTTAGTTGGCAACAACTATTTTTCTGTTCTTCAAGTCAGTGGTCCTAATTTAGATATGGACTGATGGAAATATCTGTCAGGCTTACTGGGTCCATAACAGGGATCTTAATTGGCTGTTTTTTGTCGGCTTTAGCTGCTTGAAGTTCAATCAAGCCGGTTGGTAAAACAATAAATTGGCCACTATGTCGTAAATCAATCTAATTTCGGAAAAATTACAACGGGTTAATCATTATTTGTTTATTAAGTAGTCAATCAAATTGCTTGTCGGCTACAATAAGAATAGTGAGAATAAGCCATGTGGTTCATAATCCGAGTACTTAGCATCGCGGTAATTTTGATATTCCGGTGAAAAAAGAAAACAAGCTTGCTGATTATTCATAACAGGTCCAGTGAGTTGCCATTGAGGAAATAAGCCATGTGACAATCGAAGGAAGACAATCTCGGCATGGATTGTGCACCTATCGTGCGCCCTTAACGCACCGTATAAATTCCATGTGTACAGGTAGATATTAAAATAATTTAATGGTTTCACTAACCAGTTTAATATAATCCTCGGATAGAACACCGAATACACCGAGAAACCGTCATTGATAATATATTATGAATCTCCAATGTCGATGACGCGTCACATCACTTGGAATTAGGTCAATAACCCAGCGATGCTAGTTTTAATTAGCGTTTTAAGCCATTTCAATTATGGTTGTCACGTGATCACTGTGCTGTGTGTCTATCATGGTCGAATGAATAAAAACATGATAGAAAAAAACCTACAAATTGTGTTATGATGAAATACCATGGTGCCATATCAGCTTATATCCATCGAAAAAAACTGAATACCGTAATTTATTCAGGAATATTACTGACATGAATTTCAAGCCGGTACGTGAATTAAATATGAAAAATTTTCCAAACAGTGTAGCTGTTTGTCGTTATTTTTTGTGGTAATTACATGTAGTAGAATACGATGTTCCTCATAATAAATTACCAAGAATTATTTTTGTTGAAGTCTGGTTATAATAAAGGGAATGGAGAAGCTTAAAATTTTAAAACCCAGTTCCTATTTGAACCTCATTTGACACAATACTGGCCGGTTTGTTTCAAAATGGATTAAGAACCCTGGTCCATAATATGTAAAGAATGATCAAATAATAATTCAATGAAAAAACATACATGGCAAGATCCAGTCATTTTCTTTTCATAATCTTCTCGAATGTGTCCATATTTTTCTACTAAGCTTTTATATTCATCACCTTTAAAAAATATTATATTAAAAAAGACAATTTGAAGGAAATTATTTTAGGACTTTACTAGTTTAAAGGCAATTTTTGCACAGAATGAAGAACAGAATTTATCTGTAGGTCTGTTACTGCCATTGTTTTAATCTATGTTTACATATATAATACCATGTAATTATGGCTCTGACAAATATCAAACAAAATAAATGCTAATTTTAAATACCGGTATACTGTATAAAGATTTGGTGTTAATTTGTCAAAACTTATGGTGGCTGAACACACAAGTTGATCACACATAATTTCACTGATACAGACTTATTCCACCAAAAATAAATGCCATTATTGGGATTATCGATCATAAACACTGAATTATTTGTGATGAAAAATTAATGCTGAACTTACAGGTTTTCCTTTTCTTTGCTTCTGCCTACAAACATAATAAGCCATTCTTTTCAATCATATATATTTTCATTATTCAACTATAGTAGAATCTGTATTAAGCAGTCACTCAAGGGAATTTTCATGACTGACTGCTTAACGGGAGTAACCTCTTAATAAAATCCCAGTGTTTGTTAGTGCCGACATCAAGTATATAATTATTACGCTTGGATGAATTCGGGACAAACATCAAAACTTGCATTGGTAAATTTGGCCGTCACTGAAACTTGCATGGAATGAAAATTCTTTGACTCAAATCTATGATATAACTTCTGTAAACGAGTCATTTTGTACCAACATTGATACTACTGTTTACCACTGTGATGTATTCAATAATATTTATCCATTTTTGTGAAGAAAATCCATGAATTAATTTTCTTTTATCAAAAAGCAGATTCTACTCCTTGCCACGTACAACCGAGGAATAGAAACCACGCCAGTTGACTCAATGACAGACCTTATGACAAAGAGTGCACATGCTAACCAATCAGCCCTCCATCCACCCTAAACTCGGCTTAACGGAACTTTTAGTTTATTCAATCAGTATCAAATAATGTTTTGTTACGTGTGAAAAAAATGACCATAGGGTTTGTCATTTAATAAAATAAAAGATTAATTAACAGATAATCCTGGGTTTATTGTTATTTTCACAGTTCTTTTTACTTGATCGGTGGTGGGGGCCAGATAATCAACTATCAATCAGGGGATTAGAGGAGGTGCTACGAAGTACGACAAGATGGTATCAATCATTCAACAATGGCCGTTGAATATTGCTAAATTTATTAGTAAAATAGTGACCACTGGAGCTTTAGAGGAGTGACCGTTTATCAAAAAGATCAAACAATTGAATTTCTATGGGAGAAGTTTATCGTGACTGCTTAACAGGAGTGGCTGCTCGTACAGATTCTACTATACTTCAAATATTATTAAATCTAATTGTGTTTTTAAAAGTTAATGCAAATGAACTATTAGAAAGTATTAAATGATGGAACATACCTTTTCTAGATCTTTTTGAGAAGCATTATCTCTTTTTAATCGTTCTAATTCAAGGCAACGCGTGTGGTAGATTTCTTTGGCCTGAAATATGTTAGTTCATAACATGTTCAAATCAAATGTTTCTTTCAAAAAAAATTCAATACAATGCAAAAAATAGAAAACCCAAATCTCAATTAACTGCTAATATACACATTGGTTTCTAATATTTAAAGTTTGTCCCACATCAGAAATGTTTATAGGCCAATAGTAATATTTTTTGAAGGACATACATTGTAAATTACACCCTGGAACCAGAGGTCGCAGTCACGCAAAAATCTGTGTTTTTCACGCATTTTTAAAAAAATAAATGCAAATATTGACGGAAGCTGCGTAATTTACATGCAGAATATTTCCCAACATGAGAATAATTAGATTATTGTATGTAGTAGTTTGTACACTATGTCATCAATTTATGTGCTTTCATGTGGCATTTACACACCGCTACTGTACATAGTCTCTGTAGGTTTTTATATTTCCACTTATTTCATTTATAATCTTTAACTTCATGGCAGTAAGCCTTCTATACATAGCTATTCTGAGACATCCCCTATTTTACAGTACTGGAAGACACAAACTAAGTCATTTTGGGACTAACACATGGTTCGATTTTATTTCAATAATTCGCTTGCGCGTAGGGGTCTTTAGCAGTGGGAGGAATTCGGAGGACCTAGAGAAAACCCATGAGGTTGGACAGGCAACCCTATTTCTTGTCACGTACAACCAGAGAATCGAAACCACGCCAGTTGACTCAATGGCAGACATTATGATACAGCGTGCACATGCTAACTATTCGGCCATTCAACCCCCCACTTTGGATTGGCTAGAACATGATAAAACTGTTTTCAATCAAATATTGGCTTTCGTAGCAATAGTTTGCTCTTTACTTCCTGTCAAAGTGAAAGATTGAAATGACTGCCATCAACCTCCAGTCTTCATTAGACTAAATACAGTATCAATAAAATAAGGACGCTTAAAATAGGGTTGTTCAAAATCGGTTTTACTTGCTTCTTTCTATTGAGTATTTTGAGAGGTTCTAGGAAGTCACGCAGATGCAGAGGGCAAAAACGCCAAATTTTGGAATGTCTGTGCATTTTTACGCAACTCGAAATTGATCCACTGCGACCTCTACCTGGAAATGCTTTGTTTGTAAGCTTACTTATAATATATTATATTATATTTAACTAATTTTATGTCAAATATCATCACTGAAATACAAAATCATAATTTAAATATCATTAAAGATACATTATGGGAGATAAGATAAAGAGATGGCAGTTCTCACTATAATAGTTAAAAACTAGATAGTGTAAATGTAATTTGCTGAAAATTTCAGTCAAATTGATCCACTATTAGCCGAGAACAAAGTGGGTGAAATTTTCGCTTAGTCTCAGTCATCATTACTAAAATCATTAATATAAACAGCATAGTCTCGATTATCCACTGTTTTGATTTAATTATCAATGGCCGTTAAGTGGCATATAGGAATCTAATCCAGCCAACATCGAAGGCTAGCCTTGACATCAAGAGTTTATTATGGTCTGGATAAGTTAATTAATGTCTAAAGAAAGACTTGTAATAAGCAGATTTTGCTCTTGCATAATGCATGTTTAAATAAAAAGAGGATATTGTTAAATCACACTATCCAAATCTTTATATTTTGAAGACACAAATACCACTGATAATAATCACTGAAAAAATAAAAGAATTCCCTTATAAACAGACCTTGTGCACAGCAACAGTTGTTTGTTGTATGGCTTGAACTGTTTCTGATGTGCTTGCTTCACTTTCCTTCATCTATAATCAATTAGTAAGATACATTCATAGATGAATCACATCCAACAACTATATCTAATAATCTAATCCCATTACAAGATTCTTTTTACTATAAAATCTCTTCATTGAGTTTTTGACCGTTGATCTTATTGTTGTATTGTAAGGTTTCATGATTTGTTTTCTGTGTAGTTGCCTCACATTCTTGTATTACTTTATTAACATTAAACTTGTATTAACTTGATAAAATTAACAGAATACTCTTCGAAATGTCACCAAATAACATAGTAGTTGTTTTTCCATAAGTATGTATTATAGTTTACAATTCATGTATGTAACATTACCATTTTCTTACATGTCTTATATAAAGATACAAGTATTTACCATTCAAAAAAAAAATGTGTAAGGTCAATATTGCAAAGAAATAACATACAGTTTTCTGTCTTTTATGTTGATCTTCATTATAACGGATGACATCCTTGATCAGGTCAGACCAAGTATGAACTAACTGCATGTGAAGACTGGCTAATTTCTCCACCAAAGATTTCAATACATTCCAGAATGGAGCAAAAGTTCTGAAATATTTTCAAATGAAAAATAACATACATAACGAAATAATCTACAGTTTAAAAGAGAATTCGATAAATGTGCGGATGAATGGAAACTGCAAATATTTGTATTCAATGTCACACTTTAACAGTATGTATTGTTTTATTAAAACACCTGTGCCCGTCATTCATCCACAATTTCTTCTGATCAGTGATCATACTACATGTCAGAATCCTGAGTTTTTTTTGTTATTTCAATGTACAGTTCCTGTGTGAATTTTTAGTGGGATTGTTTAGGGTAACAGTCACACTTCAAGAATGTACTGTAGCCCTATCAGCATTAACTCCCTTTTTACACCCATTACAGAAAAGCTTTAATAAAGATAGATGCATTACATAAGATTTAAATAAAGAGCTTAACGTTGTTGCTATAGTAGTTCAAAAATAAATAAAACTGAATATATTGAAAATTTCAGTCAAATTATTTTCTTCTGAGCGAAGTTATTAGTGTTTGAAGTTTTGACATGATATTCTCGATTGACAAATATTATTGCCAATAACAAACATTGTCTTGATTATCCATTTTAATGTTAAATTATTAAATGACACATACATATGTTCTAATCAATTCAATATCAGAGCCATCTGATGTGCCACAGAGTTTGTTACGGGCTTGTCATATTAAACAAGCTAAATCTGCATAATGCAGGTTTTCTTTATGTCTTAAATGTTAAATAAATTATTAATTAGACATTAATCAACTCACCAAGACCACAATCAACCCTCTATGTCATCGGATGCTGGAGATTTTCAAGAGATTTAAATACGATTTAAAAATGGATAATCAAGACTTTGTTTATTATCTTAACAATGGTAGCAATGACAATCAGGATTACATTGTTCTTTTAACTGTGATAACTCAGCTCAGAGTGAAGTAATTTGACTGAAATTTTCAACATATTCCCTTTTCATGAACTATTGAAATCTTACATAATCCCACTTTAATAAATTCCAAATTTAGAATTCATATAACATTTGAAGCCAAAACAAGGACGTCCAATAGGCAGATTTATTTCTTACATGTATGTATTGTAATGCATCTTTAAAAGAATTTTTTATAAACAAAATACTTACCCAACTTGAGCACAGTTTGAGGTTGACTTAGCCAGCTTTGCCAGCAATTTAGCATACTGTTCTTCAACTTGACACCTGTGACAAAGGATTCATTATAAGACAGAGAGTTCATTTCGGGACGAGCATATGGTTCAATTTTATTTCAATAATTCACTTCTGCGTAGGGGTCTGTAGCAGTGGGATGAAACCGGAGGAAACCCATGAGGTTGGACAGGCGACCCTACTCCTTGTCACGTACAACCGGGGAATCGAAACAACGCTAGTTAACTCAATGACAGACCTTATGACAAAGAGCGCACATGCTAACCAATCGGCCATCCAACCACCCTAAACTCCGCTTAACGGTGCTTTTAGTTTATTCAATCTGTATCAAATAATGTTTTGTTATGTGTGAAAACAATGACCATAGGGTTTGTCATTTAAAAAAATGAAAGATTAACAGATAATACTGGGTTTATTGTTATTTTCATTGTTCTTTTTACCTGATCGGTGGCGGAGGGCCAGATAATTAACTACCAATCGCAGGATTAGAGGAGGTGCTACAAAGTACAAGATGGTATCAATCATTCAACAATGGTCGTTGATTAAGCACTATATTGCTAAATTTATTATGATTGGAATTTTGATACTCGATGTCATTGTTGATCATACATTGACATTATGATTAAATTGATTATGGTGAAATTGATTATCACTGGCTTCGTCTGATTACCTAATTAATGGATCAGTCAGATTATCTTTAAAATTAGATGATTCGCTTCACCAAGTGGCATTTTTTATTATTGATTGATCATAGAGAAACAATTATTTTCAAGTTAACCTGCAAAGTATATTTTTCAATAATATTAAATTAAATAAATCATTCATAAGATTTATTTCTGCAGTTCTAATCTTGGTTCTCAATTATGGCTGCCTATGACAACTGTGTTACTTTTGATTCCTGCAGTAAATGGACACTGTAGTAAATCAGAAAAATTTCTTGTGTGTAATTATTAATTTTAATTAAACATATTTGCTAGAATTTTATATGAATTCTGGAAAACCTTATTTATTTACTTGCATTTTGGTTTTACAGGTATTTCGAAAGCAGTCTATTTGAGCTTAGTTACCAGCGGCTGCCAGGCAGTATACGCCCACATTTTCGAGAGATGGATAGAAAACAAGCTAAACGAAAATGATTTTTCCTACAATCAAGGGCCATAATTCAGGAAATTACAATTCGATATGCGCAAATATCGAAAGGAACCAAGATCTTTGAGTTATAAACTTACATTTCAAGTTTCAACAAAATTGGATAAAAATTGTGACCTCTATAGGGTCCACAACCTTGATATACCATATTTTTACGCTATTTGAGAACAAGGGGCGGCCATTTTGTCTGTCAATTTTCGGCCAATTTCCACGAAATTCGAACTCAGTCGTCCTTAGGGTGTAACAAGCTAAAAACGTGATTTTTCGTACAATCAGGGGCTATAATTCAGGAAGTTACGGTTCGATATGCGCAAATATCGAAAGGAACTGAGATCTTTGGGTTATAAACATACATTTCAAGTTTCAACAAAATCGGATAAAAATTGTGACATCTATAGGGTCCACAACCTTGATATACCATATTTTTACGCTATTTGAGAACGAACGGCGGCCATTTTGTCTGTCAGTTTTGAACCAATTTTCACGAAATTCGAACTCAACCGTGCTTAGGGTTTAATGGTGATATAATAAAACGTTTTTTTAAATCGGATAAAAATTATGACCTCTATATGGTCCACAAGCTAAAAATGCGATTTGTCATACAATAAGGGGCCATAATTCATGATGTGCGCGAATATCGAATGGAACCAAGATCTTTGTGTTATAAACTAACATTTCAAGTTTCAACAAAATCGGATATAAATTGTGACCTCTATAGGGTCCACAACCTTGATATACCAATTTTTACGCTATTTGAGAACGAAGGGCGGTCATTTTGTCTGTCAGCTTTGGGTCGATTTTCACAAAATTCGAACTCAGCCGTCCTTAGGGTGTAACGGTGATATATTAACACGGTTTTTTAAATCAGATAAAAATTATGACCTCTATAAGGGTCCACAAGCCAAAAAACGCGTTTTTGCGTACAATCAGGGGCCATAATTCAGGAAGTTACGGTCCGATATGCACGAATATCGAAAGGAACCGAGATCTTTGTGTTATAAACTTACATTTCAAGTTTCAACCAAATCGGATAAAAATTGTGACCTCTACAGTGCCAATATCGAAAGGAACCGAGATCTTAGGGTGATAAACCTATATTTCAAGTTTCATTGAAATCGGATAAAAATTGTGACCTGTAGACTGTTCACAAACAATTGTGGACAGATGGACGGACAGGGGCAACGACAATATACGTCCACATGAAAATGTGGGCGTATAAAAAGTGGGACTGATCTACCGTTTTTGTGTCGGACATGCCAGGTGAAATGATTAGATTCATTAATTACCCAGTATTGACAACCCCACCACCAACTTTATCAACTATGTCAGAAGCTACTTATGCAACACAACCTTCAAAATGAACAGCACCAACTACATCAGTGCTTCTCAACCGGGGTCCATGTGCACCCCCAGGGGTGTATTCGAAATGCTCGGGGGTGAAATTTGGAAAAAGGGGGAATTGGGGGTGAATTATACACAAAGGGGTGAATTTTGTGAATAGGGGGGAATTTGCATGACTAGCACTAGCATAATTAATTTCGACGCTGAGTATAATGGCTCTTATCCTATCTTGCTGTACTGTTGGTTGTCCGGTAAGTGGGTAACCTAGTCTCATCTCAATGTGAAATAGACTATAGGCAGCTAGGTAGGATATATTGTCGATTGCTTAGTTTCTTTTTACACCAGAAATGTGCATGGCCTGAATGGGGATTCCCAATTTAATTTCAATCACTTGTCTTTAGTATTGGTTGCTCAATTCTCAGTTTCTCTGTTTCAATGTGACAATAAGCACTGTATTGTGCGATTGTGCATTATTACCTCTGCAGTGTCACACACCAAAGCTAGTGTCCTAGTGAATTAACATCATGGCTACGAAAGCGAAGGTGAAAGTTCGAAAATATTCAATCGATTATCTGAATTTTGGATTTATTGCAGCACCTCACGATGAACGATTACCCCTGTGTCTGTTATGTGATCAAACGTTGTGCAATGATTCCATGAAACCGATAAAACTTGAGCAACATTTGAAAGCTAAACATCAGGAGCATGCCAAAAAAACAGTCAAATATTTCAAAGACTTAAAACTGAAACGGGAAAAAAGGAAACCAAAGTCAATCGAGTCATTGTTCCGAAAACAAGTGTCTAATTTGGAACGCAGGTTGGAGTCTAGTTACGAAATATCGTTATTGATTGCAAAGAATGGAAAACCTCATTCAATCGGTGAAGAATTGATCAAGCCGGCATTATCAGTATTCGCTCGCACTGTACTACAGAAGGGCGACGATGCAGTGGGAATTGATTCAGTACCTCTCAGTAACAATACCGTACGCCGGCGAATCGATGAAATGGCAACGGATGTTCATGAACAACTGATATCCAAACTACAAAACATGAAGTTCACAGTGCAGATGGACGAATCGACAGTCCGCAGAAGTGAAGCGTTGCTACTCGCTTACGTGCGATATGTAGAGAACGGACAATTCAGAGAGGAGATGTTGTTTTGCGAACAACTGAAAACAACCACAACTGGGGCAGATATCTACACAATATATACCAAATACGTGACAGAATCACGTATTCCACTACAAAACGTAATATCATGCGCAGCAGACGGTGCTCCAGCTATGATGGGTAGACGACAGGGAGTTCTGAAGCTGATGAAGGATGACAATCCTGGCATGTTGACTGTGCACTGTGTCATTCATCGAGAGAATCTTGTGGCTAAAAACCTGTCACCAGAATTGAACACTGTCATGAAAGCAGTTATTAAGTGTATCAACCTAATCAAGTCAAATGCTAAACAAGAACGCCTTTTCAAAGACTTCTGTTCGCAAATGGAAGAAACTCATATTCGCTTGATATTGCATACAGAAGTGCGCTGGCTGTCCAAGGGTAACTGTTTGGATAGGTTTGTCGAGTTGTATGATGCTTTGGATGAGTTTCTGGCTGATAAAGACGAAATGGCTGTCTTACGAGGGGTCGAAGCAAAAGCACAAGTCTGTTATCTCGCCGATATTTTCGGAAAGCTCAACGGTTTGCATGCAGAGATGCAGGGTGCAAACAAGACCCTTCTGGATTCAAAAGCGAAAATATTCGGTTTTGTTACCAAACTCCGTCAATACAGAATGGAAATAGCCAGGCGGGAGTTCGTGAACTTCATTCGTTTGAGTTCTTGTGATGATGTTTCAGATCGGGTCTTGACTGTGATCACGCGTCACCTACAAAGTATGATGACAGAGTTCACACAGAGATTCGTCGACTTGAGTGAGATGGACTTTCCTGGGTGGCTTACTCAATATAAATTGGTCGATCTCGGTGACGTTGAGAACAGTTCCAAGATGAAATTGCTGATCTTCAGAACGACCCATCAGCTGAACTTCTCCACAGAGCAAAGCGCCAGTTCATGTGGCTTGATGAAGAAATCATTGAAAACTATCCAAATTTGAGTACACGAGCACAGAACTTGCTATTACCTTTCCCCACTTCGTATCTACGCCTGAAGTTAACAAAGTTAGTTCCGGATGTTAAGACCCTTGTTCAAAAACACCAAGCACAAGGTGCTCACTAAACAAGGGTCATGACATCTCTGTTGTGCTTTTAATGTGTAAATCTATGGCATCTGTTCATTAAATATGTGTTTGAAACGATTTAGTTTTTATTAATTTGATGTTTTATAGTGCCAGGGGTGAATAGCTGAGAAAATATTTCTCAAGTGGGGAATTGTATCATAAAGGTTGAGAAGCACTGATCTACATCAAGGACAATTAGATCTAGACGGAAGTTACAATTACATGCAACGTCATGAAACCACCCCTCCATCCACCTACCACTGAGACCAAAAAGAGGCAAAAGACAAAAAGGGAAAACTGGCACAACAAGGGAGTGAGTTAAAAGACTCAGAAAGGAACAAACAGAGGGACTCAAAGTAAGAACAAAAATTCTTTTAATAGATGTAAAATATTAACACAAAAACAGCAAATAGAAGAATATTTACACAAAGAACAAATTTTTAATCATTATAGAAATACTTCCATAAAAAAAAATTGGTAAACTCACGATGGATTATATTTTACACACTTTCTTGTAATTATATAAAAAAAAAAAAAAAATAAGCTCAAGAGGAGCAGCTATTTTCTTATAATTAATTGTATAATAATTTCTGATAATAATTATATAAAATATTCAAACAGTATATGAGCTCAGGGATAATTATTTTCAAATTGCTAACACAATATTCAAATTTCAGAAAATGGTAAATGAGCTAGAAGTAGATGGATGAAGGAGACATTTGTTGTCCTTTGCTGAAATAATGCCTTTAATTTTGTTTGATATTTTGGAAGAAGTAGGTAATAATAATAATAATGTATATTTATATAGCGCCAATACTTTCCAAAATTACATGCTCAAGGCGCAGTCATGACACTCTGTACACTATTTACACTCATATTCTAGATTAAATAAATGAGTTTTCAATTTTGTCTTAAACAATTCGAGAGAACTCGAAGTTTTAATGCTGTGTGGTAGGGAATTCCATACGATTGGTGCATAACATCTAAAAGATTTATAACCAAAGGATTGCAATTTGAATTTCGGTATATGTAAAAGGCTCTGTTCTTGGGAACGAAGATTTCTTACTGGTTCATAAACTTGCAAAAGTTCAGTCAGATATTCTGGGCTGGATACATTTAAGCATTTAAACACAAGACACAAGATTTTGAACGTAATTCTGGAATGTACTGGCAACCAGTGAAGTTCCTTCAGAATAGGTGTTATATGAGAGCGTCTTGATGTTTAACTTATTATTCTCGAGGCGGTGTTTTGAACAGCTTGTAATTTTGACATTAATAATTGGTTCAGACCACTTAAAACACCATTACAATAGTCTAACCTAGAGAACACTAGAGATCGAACGAGAGTATGGGCTGTTTCATTTGTCAGAAGATGCCGGATATTTCCAATGGCGCGTAGATGGAAGTAACATACTTTGCAAATGTAGTTGACATGTGTTTCCATTGATAGGGCTGAATCGAGCATTACTCCTAAGTTTTTAACATTGGTCAGCGCCTGAATGTCCGAATCGGCAATCGTTAAAGTAGTAGAGTCTAGGTTTGATAAATTTTTATTTGTTCCCACAAATAAAACCTCCGTCTTGTCATCATTTAACTTTAGCATATTAGATGTCATCCATGACTTGATCTGTGTAGTGCAAGCTGAGGTCCGTTGGTAGAAATCAACATAACAATCTGCCGAAAAAGTACCAATAATCTGGGTGTCGTCGGCATAAGAGTGATGATTAAAACCATGATTACTAATTATATCAGACAGTTGGTTGGTGTAAAGGACGAAAAGTACCGGACCTAATACAGATCCTTGTGGAACTCCACAGGCTAGAGATGTTCTCTCTGATAAGTCGGTACCAGACTGGCTGCGGTTTTGAAGATATGATAGAGGATACCCATCTATACCACAGCGATTTAAAAGATTCCCCAGTAGACGGGTGTGGTCTATGGTATCAAAAGCAGCCGATAAATCGAGCAACACCAGAGAAGCAATACAGCCGCTGTCTGCAGTAGAACGTAGATCATTTACAACCCTAAGTAGGGCTGTTTCCGTGCTGTGATATTGTCGGTATGCTGATTGGAAAACATTCAACAAGGAATTTGCAGTAAGATGTTCATTTAGACGAATATTGACAGCTTTTTCAATAATCTTTGACAGGAACGGCAAGTTTGAGACAGGACTATAATTTTTCATGATGTTTTTATCCAGGTTGTCTTTCTTTAGGAGTGGAAGGACAATAGACGATTTAAAACAGTCAGGAAATGTACCAGTTGTTAAACTGTTGTTGATTAATTGAGTGAAGAATGGGAGAAGTTGATCAATAAGTTGAAGGACAAGGTGTGTTGGGATTGGATCTGATAAACATGTTGTAGGTTTTGATGCCATGATGATGTTTTTGATTTCCTCTTTACTAAAGGGTTTGAAACTGCATAATTTATGTCCGCCAAATAAAGTTGTTTGGGTATTTTCAGAATCTGTAGATGAATTTAGTCCACTGCGAATCTTCTCGATTTTGTTGATAAAGAAATCATTGAACGAGTCAGCTAGACTTTTGTTATTGTCTGAACTTGGAAGTTTTCGATCTGGTTTTTTACCAAGTAGGGATTTCAAAAATCTATGGACTTTACCAGGATCGTTCTTGCAGTTTTGAATATAAGTTCGACAATACTTTTGCTTAGATTTACTAATGATCTTTAGATGGTCACTTTTAGCTTTACAGTAGATCTGGCGGTGGATTTCTAAATGGGTCTTCCTAAATTTACGCTCGGCTCGATGACGTAAGCATTTTGATTGTTTGACTTCATTATTGTACCAGGGAGCGCTGTTCCGTACAGTCACAGTTTTGTTTGTTGCTGGGGCATGTTTGTCAAGTAATGCAGAAAGAGTATTATTATACAGATTAACTTGAACATTGACATCACTCATTGGATCCAAAAGTAATTTTGAATTTGAAATATCAACTCGAAATGTACTCCAGTCAATGGCTTTAATGTTTCTGCAAATAATTTCCTTTTTAAGGTTTTGAGGTCTAGACAATTTTAATATTGCTGTAATGTAATAATGGTCAGAAATTTGTCTATTTTCTACATGTACTTCCTTGACAAGGTCAGAGTCATTTGCCGCGACTACCCAATCAAGAGTATTACCAGATTTATGAGTTGGTTCCATAACATGCTGATTATAACTTTTACAGTCAATGAGGGACACATATCTTTTGACATCCGACTTTATTGTGTTATTTATCTGTATGTTAAAATCACCAAGAATTATGGTATTCGGTTTTGAGTATGAGGAAAACAAAATTGCAAATTCCTGGTAAAAATCAGATGATGAAAGTTTATTCTTTGCCGATGGGGGCGGCCTATAAATGCAAACTACTATAAAACACTTGTTAGAAGCTGTAACTCTTAAAGGTAGCTGTTCAAACGTTTTAGCTTCAAGCTTGTTTGAGAGAACTTCAACAATAATAGAACGTCTGTAAATTACTGCGATTCCTCCACCAGTGGTGTGGGATCTTGCAAGGTGCACAAATGAATGGGACGGGAGTGTCATGGCTGTTATATGGTGTTCATCGCCATTGGGTTTAAGCCAAGATTCAGTGATGACTAGCATATCTGGATTATCTTCAGTAATGAGGTCAAAAATTTCAGTTTTTTTTATTTCGACATGATTGCGTATTCCATAGCCCTAATGTAAAAGAGTCTGCCTATTTATGTGTGATGGAAATGGACGTTTCTAATTTGCTAGTATTGCTATTAGTGTTGATATTATTTGATTTAAGTTTCTGACGTTTTTTCCTCCCAGAGGCACATCCACGCCTTGTTCTTTTATATTGTTTAACTATGTGATCAGTGGAATCTTTAAGAAACGTTTTATGTTCAGGTAATAGTAAATCACAACTTGACTTAGAAAGGAGTTCATCTCTGGATGTAGTGATTACATGTTTATTAACTGAGTAATTTGTGAGCATGATTAATAGTAAACAAAGGATTACTGAAAATGGCTCGAGTTGTGGTGTTAAAAGTCTTGATTGCATGCTTCAGTAGTCACTATATGATAATATAGAAAATAATACAAACTCAAAATACTTCAAAGTTATCCAATATTTAGGAAATAAATTCACATCCATGGGTGCACTATGTCTTTATAAAGCAACTGGTCATAAAATCCAAAATGTATAATCAAGATACCAGTATATAAAACAATGAAAACACACAGAGCACAGTGTAGGACAGCCACCTGAGATAGCGTGCCTACAGAATAGGTAATCAACAGTCAAGTCAATCACCAAATCCAGTTCCTGTGACAGATGTGGAGTTATGCCTAAAGATAGGCATTTCTTTACAACCAGTAAGTAATTCTTTTCTGTCATAATATCCTTCGAAAGATTTCACCAAGGAAGACTAATGCAGACAGCAGTAGTTAAAACCCCTTCATTTCACTCCTTTTCAAATTACCTGGCTTACTGAAAATAGATTTTAAAAATAGTTAATTCAATTATTTCAGGTGTTTGAACAGTATTGTTTAGAACCAGGAGTTCTGGATCTTGCCAATGCAATCTGATTAAAACACAGATCCTATTTCGTTTTGTTTTTTTATAGTTCAAAATTTCGTTTTACTTCTCTTTACTACACTAAAGAGTTGTTATATATAACCCACGTTCTGCATGATGTGAAGGATTAGCCGATGAAACGATCTGTTACGGCAAGTTTTTGGCATGAATTGCATGCAACTGTGGGTAACCTACTTTGAAACATCAACACTAATTGGTTAATCAAATGTCTGACATCATAAGGCCAAAAGCCGCTCGTATGAACTCGCGAGCTTCCACCAGGGAAAAAAATAACCGGGTTCGCATCGCACTTTGCGACCCATTTCCGACGTTACTGCGAGTCAATGGAAAAACTGATTAGCAAAATTTTAGTTGAAAATCTAAAAGGTTTCGAATCATTTTTATCAGAAATAATACCATTTATTTCAACATTGTGTCTCAAAATTCAACTGGCAATAAGAAATCCTTTTACGGTTACTCTAAAACGTGAACCTATCCTTTTAATTCTATATTTCACAACACAATGTTCATTTCAGGAGTCGGTCTGTTTTTGGTCATGCTTATCCAGACACAATAAATGTATGGAAATATTGGTCATGCGTCTGGAAAATGTGACTACTATGCCGCGGGTCTTCACGTTTCTCTCTAATGATTTTCAATGTAAAATATCTTTTACAATGATCAAAACAATGCTCGAAGTTTGACATACATTACGTAATTAGTCAGAAGCTACAGCTTTGCAAAACTGAAAGTTTGACATTGCGCGCTAACATTAGTCTCTTATTCACAGCAATTTATGCACAATAAAACATAATTATAAATACTATTGTGAATGTTCAGAACAGGATGAATGAATAGGGCTTTTTTTTACATGCATTTTTAATTGTGTGATTTTACTCTCACGACGGCTATGTAACCAAGGTGGACAAAATTACAGCAAGGTAATTCAGACCACGTGACATCAACATGAATCGTCTGCAGTTGGAATTCGTTAAGCACTGTAAAGGATTGGTGTTGAAGATATCATTCACAATACAATTCATGCCATACGAGATCAGTAACTTGCAAGTTATGCACAAAATATGAATAGAAAAAAAAAAAAATTTCCAATATGATAATAACCCCCAAAATTTAATAACCATGGCTACCATAATGTAAATGGGCTATCAAGGCAAATAAAAAGTAAACTGTTACATTTAATTAATATTGAGTATTCCTGATAGATTGTAACTGCACCTAAAATGACCAAAACTGCTAATCAAAAGGTAATTTGATTAGCAAAAATCTATTAAAACTGTTTCGCACTGCTAACCAACTGTCAACAGTTATTTTGTTACCTCGCTTCAACTACAACCGGTCAGATATTCATGTGGTGCAGGCCATCGAAAAACAAAATGCAATATAGATCTGTATTTTAATCAGATTGTTGCAATTGTGTATTGAACTGATGTCCTAGCAATTGGTAAGGACGTAGATGTTAATCACAGAGACGACACATGGCTTTTTTTTTTTTTTTTATAAGCAATATTTTATACAGATTTGTATCTGAATAGGGATTGGGGAACAGGCATAGCCTTTATTGAACCCCTCTCCCTGGTTTACAGGCAGATTGTGATGCGACGCCTTGGTAATACCCTCCTGTTGTGTCCTGAAGATATGGAGATTGTTTCTAGACAGAAATGGACAGTATACTGGTTTTAATACGAGAAGACTATTATGAAAAACAAATATATTCTTACATTAAAATCTGGTTCTCTTTCTTGGCTATTTCTGAAGTTGGTAAGTCTCAGCAATCTTTTGGGGGTCAGCATCACCCAGTTGTCTTTTCCTTCATGCTTTTCCTTTACCCACCAGTCCAAAGGGGGAGGGGGGGCTTTAGGTTTAATGCCGGTTTCCACCTAGGGTGATATCGCAGACAAAGTGAGTGTTTCCTAAGAATTTTGCCAGAGAAGTCACATAGTAGGCTTAGTCCAGTATGGGTAGGAGATATGGGATCAATAATTAGTAGGCCTATTCGATTTCGTTTCCTTATATAAAGACACACTGCCTTTTGCAGGTTAGCATCCAAGCTAAAATTTCATCCAAAGGAGTTGCTTCGGGTACTAAAATGGGGTTTATGTGTATTATGGCAAGTGTGTGCATTCTGGTTAGCGTTGCCATCAGTTCTGTGATCTGCTAAGGTTTGTAGATTTGACTGGCATCTGGGCCCAGGGGCCTTCACCATATTATATAGCAATGATAACATTATGCCATAATGATAATGCTTGGCCCCTTTCATTGGTGCAAAAGCCCAATTTGATGCTCTCTTAAGAGTATTTTCTGTGGTACCTGAAAGATTGAAATTGTGAAAGTGTTATTGTTTTTTGAGCTTAATAATTATACAACATGCTTAACAGTCCTTAGAATAACAAGTAAAAGCCCTGTTTTCAGTTATTGTTGGGATCTTTACAAACTGAAGTGCAAACATAGAAATGATGATCGTCAAACAAAATGACAAACCTTGGGTTATCAGGTTCATCCTGTCATAATTTAAATGCAGGTTACTTATATAAACATTAGCTCAAATAATCTATTTAACAGACTAGATTAAAAGAAAGTCAATAATAAGGAATATAAATGGAAAATTAAAAATTGCAACGGCAAATTCAGAAACCATGGATAGGGGGTGCACACAGGCGACAAAGCTGGACGTTTCGAGCACGAAGACCAGGTGGCCTCCTCCCGAAGATTTTGAAAACTATAAGCCTGGAAATACCATTTCCAGTGATTTGAAACAGAATCCTGTTCTTAAATGTACCCCTGGTTCCAGATGCGTCCCCACTTGATCAGCCCTTAAATGGCAAAAGAATACACACAATATTTTGCGTCTTTTATAAATACATTATAAACAATTAATGTTTTTAAAAAATCATGTTTTCCCATGGCAAATAATAAGCTTATAAGAATCGGTTGAATTGTTTTTCAGTGGTAACATATTTTTTTTATTTTTTTTGCAAATTACCTGTATATATTATATACATATATAATAACAGCTTTGCCTGGTTGCCAATTCTTCACGGCTCTCTATCATTCTATGTAAATGTTCAGCTTTCCTTCAATTCTTCCCACCTAATCTGCTCTGTTCCCAAGTTCATATTTGTTAACGACCAGCTCAGTCTGAACTGCCTCTGATATCCTGCTTGCTTGCGTTTCTTAGCCGAATCAATTGGGATGATGATCTACTAATAATTACACGCGTGACTTAAATATTACTAGGACTCCGACTTGGCAATCGACGGAAAAAATCAACACTTGTCAATGTCGAACTCAAGTCTCTAGATAATTGATACCAGCGTGATATAGGCCATATATCTGTAAACAATACAAGTAGATTATCTGCGTTCGGACTGTCTAGAATATCATTAATCAACTTGAATTAATTGTGTGTTAATCCAAGTCATTTTAATCCCGATTTCCTTTCACATTTCCGCTGATCTTATGTATTTATTTATTTGGAATAATAGGGTCACACACAAGGGATCTCCCGGTCCTATAACATCATTTAAAGCTATTTTTAGAACAGGAAGTCAATCAAATCTGGAGCTTATTACCTCCCTTGATAGAAATGACTCTCAGAAAAGCTTTAATGTGACAGATCTAAAATATATTTTCGAACCCTCTGGACAAGTAAAATAGGATTTAATGAATAATTTAAACAGCAGGTAGGACACTTAACACATCTAGTACTTGAATAGGGCTATTTTTTTATCTTCTGGAGCTGCCAAACCAGCAAGAGTGGCATTGTCCCTTTAAGAACAGTTAAAAGTATTACTACATATATTAAACAATATTTATAATTTATACACTTTAAATTAAATGTAAACTAGTTATAATAAGCTATGTCTCAGACGAACACATTTTATCACTCCAGCGGGATTTTCAGATCTCAAGGCCTGCTATCAAGCCATCAAGGATGTGCCAACTGAGGAGCAGTACATGACATTTAAACATAAAAAAAGGACTTTATCAATTACAATAAAACAAGACAATAAAGACGATCAAATTTGTTGGGAGAAATAAAATGTTTACCCATCTCTCAAAAATTCCATTAATTCTTTACTGGATGTTTGGCCATTTTTCAAATTATGATATAAAACATAAAATCCATTGTTCTTCTCCCCCTGAAATCAGATATAATCAAGAGTCAAATTAAAATAGTAGATCTAGCAGGTTTATTGCTAAATATTTATTACAGGTTGCAATACAGGTGTGGATTGTGTTGGCCATTTATTCCCCAAAAAAAATTAAATATGCTTTTTACTAGTATCATAGAAACACCTCTGGGGATTAACACTGTTTGCGATATCATCCTCATCATTTGATTTGTCAATTCATTCATTTATCCTTCTTTAGAGTTCTTGTGAACAGTGTGCTATTTTTTATTTCTTTTTTTTGCTGGGTCGGAGGGGAATTTAAGTATGGCTCAAAAAAGACTCAGGCTCGGCTGGTCATTTATGCACATAATCATAAAAGGATGTTGGACACATAACTACTGACTCAGTTACTGTACAATACATACAGTACGGTACTGACATACATGATTTTATTTAACCAATTTTATTGTAATGTATGAATATGATATACTGACAATACTATTGCATACCCATGCAGATAAGCTATGGTAACTAATTGTTGACCAAGTATTGTTTTAATTAATTAGGCTTAGATTGTCTTCATTGTACATGACGACAGTAAGTTATACTTACATGTAGTACTACTATTAACTAACACTGTCATTGAAAGTCAAACATTATTAAATTTATTATATTATATTGATATCCAATCAACATCATTATGTATGGGTAATTAAATGAACAATCATGAACCTACAACAATAATTAAGTATCTATTTAGTAGTATATGTATTGAAAAAAAGGTATTAAAATAGACCTAAGCAATCTGTTATTAACGGTCAATGCAATGTCAACCTCAAGTAAGGGGCGGTGTGTCAACCACTCAACTGACACATTCACTTCCGCCGATTTGAAATCAAATAGGGTATATGATAAATAGGCTTATATCAATATTTGGGACTGAAATATTGTTAACAATAAAAAAGACATTGTTCAAGCATCAGTTATTCATAAAATAAATTCACGCGAATTTTAATTCTTTTCTCTTTTTTGAAGTAAGAAGCACTGACACTTCACTTTCTTCATCGAAAAGGTTGCCGACAAAGTATCAAATTTGACGTTTACAGACGACAGTGGTTCCTGCTTTACGCATAGTTTCATCAACAATATTATAATATTTCTGGGTCTATCAATTATCCATTTAAGTCCCATGTTTATGCAAATTCGATTATTCCACATAGCATACCCAGAAATGGTCAGCGAATGTTGTCATTCTTGATTATCACATTTGTACAACAAAAGATGGCGTTTATTTAGATATTAATACGCATGCGCCATTACCCGACCTTTGGCCTATTCTCTTGCAAAATCCTTACTCTCCAGTCTCCTGGAGGAACTGCTTTGCGGTGGAATTTCACCCATCTGTGCTGTTTTGGAGAAACAGTCTGGGCACTTGCGCCAGTATCCAAGATTATTCAGTGGTGTTATTTTTGGTAAATTCTTATTTTGAGCAAAAAACTATCTTTTAAAGCGTTAATAAGAGTTTTCAAAAACTAAGGAGAATATACAGTGAACTATATTGTTGTCTGTAGGAGGGGTATTTACAATGTGGTGCGGAAAGGTTCATTTTATAAAGCCAATTGGAAGGTTTATATTGCTCTTACATTTGAAATAATTGTTCATTTTTAGCATAGAACTAGTATACTATTTTACTAGCATTCTCCACACAAGTCTCGCTATCCAGCATTCGTGAGAACTGCAAGGGAAGACAACTCTGTTTGGGAGATGGGCTCAGACTAGTTATTATTTATTTTGCCCATTGGCTTCAATGTTAAATGGCAACATCACAGGCTGTGGCTTTTTGCTCAACATTCCATTGATTCCAATCTTTATAGGCACAATGGGGACCACATTTGGCAATATCCTCATCATAGGGGGTTGACCGTTTAGATTTTTTGCTACAGGGATTTCATGTTGACTGGGGTGAAAATCTCACTTCTGACACAATGATTGCTCTGCAGAAAGACACTTTACACCCCCTATCCCTCCACTGTAATATCATCAGTATTACCAATCTGCGCCTGCATTGGCCGAGAAAGTTCACCCAGATTTTCCGGCGTTGTTTCCCCTTGTCAGTGGTGCAGGGCGGAGGGCCTGACAAGGTCAGCTGTCTAGTCGTTCGGATGTGACGAAAAACCGGGGTCCCGTGTACAAATTGGCATGCACGTAAAAGATCCCTTGGCAGTTGGAATTCGATTTAAGAGTAGGTCGTAGCGCCGCTGCCCGGGCAAAATTTCCCTCATAGCACACTGTATGGCATATGCCTGTCTTCATTAGCCCAGTTTAGGAGCAAAACAGTAGGACGTTAAACCCCATTTCATTTCATTTCTGTGTCACAGAGATCTTTTAATATCTCTGTTACAGATGACTGTTTCGACACGTGACGTCACATCACACGGCGTCAATCATTTTTTACAAAAGATGTTACTGATTCGGGCTAAAAGTGGACGTAAAACTTTAGAAACAAACTAACGAACGGGCTAAATGGTGAATTTTACTTATTTTAATACCCATTTACACTAAATAGGAAATGATTTTTACCTACAAACAATTCAAACGTCTTTATTTATTTTTCTAATAAATGAAAAAAATGTTTTTGAATTTAATTTGATGGAAGAAAAAAGTTAATATTTGGGACTCATTAAGTCGCATCGATGTCATCCTTATCAGTGATTCTAGCGGCCTAGCGAAAATTCACTGCTGATCAGTGTGCAGTATTACCCCAAACTGCTATGAAAAATTGCAAATTTGATCCCCTATCTCCAATTCTAGATAAAGAAGTCGACCCAAAAATGGAGGAAGAGTGGAGAAAAAAATTAAAGAAATAATATTCGTCCATCATAATTAATTACTAGTCGGAGTCCAGATTGGTATACTGGTTCTATGGTTTGAGCATGGAGGTGTATACATTGACAATATATACAATACGCCTCTATGAGTTTGAGTCACTCCCAAGGAGAGACCAATAGAATAGACACCTGCTCTCGAGACGTTGGGTTAGATTATCCAGAAAGAATAAATATATTTTTTGAAAACGTACCCAGGCATTAGGAAGACTACCCATATTAGTTTTAAATTTGATTTATTTAATTCTCACCATATTAACAATAAATGGTGTGATTAGGGTCTTGTATATTGCTACCGGAGTTTTATACTATAAAGTGTGATTTAATTAAATTGGTCCTGATGCTAGCTAAAACTTGATTATATTCTTCCTATAATCTTATATATGTACATAATACTTCTATACATGTATACTGATAATTATTTCATATATGTTTATATCATTTATGTATCTTGCTTTTGGGAAGCCGATTTATATAAGCCTTTGGCTTGTTTCGGTATCCTGTGAATAAAATATTGTTTAAAAAAAATAATAATAACTTTGATTAATGTGTATATTACTAAGAAAATTTTACACACTTGTCAACCAATTTAGTGTATTGCATTCAACACTTGTCTAGATCAGGAATGTCTCTGTCTCGGCTACTACTAAATAATAAAATATTGGTTTATAAAGGAATTGAATCGCCACCAAATGTCTCGTTATATGAAATAAAATGATATTTACTAATTAAAATATTATACAAAGAACAATTTGTCTGTCATTTTTTCAACTTCACTCATTACAAAATATCGCATTCGTTGCAGTAATTATACTGATATGAGGCTATTTGATATTGGGTTACAATTTGGCTATACTGGGTAGTGTATTTATTGTCATGCAAACATATTTAAAGTAGCTAAGTCTCTAACTCAATATCATCCAAAATCTTCAACATTGAAAACACAAATTATTTGTCAATTTAAATCAACATTGATGCTGTGATCTTACCGGAAAAAGATGGTCTTCTGATATCCAATATTTAAGACAAAATAAACATTTTACCATTGGTACACGAATCGTGTACCATAATGCGTTTCAGCCCCAGTTCTAGCAAGAGACTCGAGGAACGAGGCTAGACATATTGCACCAAACCAAACGGCGTATGTAGACTGGAATTTGCATTCGATTGAGACTGCTGGCTTATTTCGCGGAACATAACTGATTTGAAATTAGAGTAAAAACGGAAACCATTGAATGTATATCAGTTTATATACATTCATATTACAGTATTATATGAGTTCCGACCCACTTGTGTCAATTTCTAGGTCATTGGTCTGATCATGGTCCCAATCAGCCAAGGATCTGGTCCCAATCTGCCAAGAGTGTGAAGCATCTTCTCTGTGATTTAGCTCATTTGTATTGAAGCCGTCATTCACTAATTACACTATTATTTGTGACTAATTACACTATTTATTGTCATAGTTGTCTTATTATCAAAAATATGCAAACATATTTTAAATACTCGCGTCTTTTCAGTAATGGTCCGAATGAGCCTTGTCGTGGTCCAGATCAGCCATAAATCTGGTCCCAGTCAGCCAAGAATCTGGTCCCAATCAGCCACAAATCTGGTCCCAGTCAGCCACAAATCTGGTCCCAGTCAGCCAGGTTCCAATCAGCCACGGTCCTAATCAGCCAATTACCCATGATTTGTACCTTAAATTGATTCGTACCTTTTCCTATGTTGTTGAAATGAATTGAAAGAAATCAAAATAAATCTATATGTTGTTGAAAGAAATTGAAATAATAAACGATTACCTGCCTTTTCTAAAATCTGATGTTGATTATCGAACAAGTGGTTGTGATTATTGACGACAATTGATTGGTGATAGTTATTGTGAAAGCAATTTTAAAAACGATTGAAAAAGTATTTAATCTGGGGTTGATTATTTAACCAATTCTACTGAGTGAGTTGTGATTGTGATTGATTGGGTATCACGTCATTTGGGACTCAACATAAACGACATTTGGGACCACTGCTAATAACCCGGGAACCCAGTGAGATTTAATCAAAATATTGAGTCCAAAAGGTTTGAGGTCTACAACACATATTTTACCCCTAGATCATTTTGGAAAGCCAAGTATTAAGTTTTGTAACCTGTGCATATACCTGGGAGCACTGCCCCTAACCCTCCCATATTAGTGGGAGTTAAAATTCAATGTCCATCTACAATTTTTTTGCAAGCGTTTCACACTTAACACTAAGAAACAGAATGCATGACTTAAGAGCATACAATGTTGTGCTAATGCTACTTAAGAGCTTAATTAATTAGCACTAATTAGTGACCGTAATTAAAATTTAGAGTCCATAACTGAAACAAAGCCTAAAAGGTAGCTAAAGCAGTGGACACATTAGCCGAATCAATCGGCGCCGAATTTTATTCGGCCGAATGGGTGGACACACTAGCCGAATGCTTCGCCCGATTCAACCTGTCGATTGCATCTCCTTTCACGTCACATGATTAAACATGGCGGCGTCTATGTCTTCAATCTATCACGTGACTTCTCGATATGTGTGATGATTGGCTAACGAATTCTATATTCGGCCGAATGCTTCGACGACGCGGACACACCAGGCGAATATAATTCGGCCGAATATATCAAACCTGTTTGATTCGGGCGAATCATTCGGCCGAATGACAGTGGACACACTAGGCGAATTTCGACGCCGATAGATTCGGCCGAATCATTGGGCTAGTGTGTCCACTGCTTAACCAAGTTATGAAACCAAAAATATCACTTAAGAGCGACAAAAGTTGAACAAACCTTGCTTAAGATTCGTTCAAAGGTGACAAAGGTCACTAACGAATGACCGTAATTAACTGACCGTCCATAACTGAAACAAAGCCTAAAAGCTAGCTAACCAAGTCAGGAAACCAAAAATATCACTTAAGAGCGACAAAAGTTGAACAAACCTTGCTTAAGAGTGGTTCAAAGGTGTCAAAGGTCAAATTTTAGGTCACATAATGACGTTTGAGTGGATTTGATTAAATTGTCTTGCCCGGGATTATTTTTCTTTCTAACACCATTTCTATGAGTTTCACTGCACAAAATGACTGCTTAAGAGCATGAAATGCAGTACTAATGCTACTTAAAAGCTAATTAATTAGCACTAATTTGTGACCATAATTAAAATTTAGAGTCCATAGCTGAAACAAAGCCTAAAAGCTAGCTAACCAAGTCAGGAAGCCAACAATATCACTTAAGAGTGACAAAAGTTTTCAAATCTTCTTGCAAAAATGCCCCCACTACCTACCAGAATCTCTGTACTACTGGAAGTTGCCCGGATGAAGTAGCGTGACGTCATTGCAATCTTTCCTAAAATCACTATAGTATAAAAAAAAACAGCGGCTACCAGGCAGGATACGCCCACATTTTCGAGAGATGGATAGAGAACAATCAAGGGCCATAATTCAGGAAATTACAATTCGATATGCGCAAATATCGAAAGGAACCGTCTTTGGGTTATAAACTTACATTTCAAGTTTCGTCAAAATAGGATTAAAATTGTGACCTCTATAGAGTCCACAACCTTGATATACCATATTTTTACGCTATTTGAGAACGAAGGGCGGCCATTTTGTCTGTCAGTTTTGAGCTGATTTTCACGAAATTCGAATTTAGCCGTCCTTAGGGTGTAACGGTGATATAATAATACGTTTTTTTTAATCGGATAAAAATTATGGCCTCTATAGGGGTCCACAAGCTAAAAACGCGATTTTTCGTACAATCAGGGGCCATATTTCAGGAAGTTACGTTCCGATATGCGCGAATATCGACAGGAACCGAGATCTTTGGGTTATAAACATACATTTCAAGTTTAAACAAAATCGGATAAAAATTGTGACATCTACAGTGTTCACAAGCTAAAAACGTGGTTTTTCGTACAATCAGGGGCCATAATCCATGAAGTTACAGTCCGATACATGCCAATATCGAAAGGAACCGAGATCTTAGGGTGATAAACCTATATTTCAAGTTTCGTTGAAATCGGATAAAAATTGTGACCTGTAGACTGTTTACAAACAATTGTGAACGGACGTCCGGACGGACAGGGGCGACGACAATATACGTCCACATGAAAATGTGGGCGTATAAAAATACAGAAATGACACGCTCCTGTTTAGCTTCCGTATGTTCGTGAACGCCTTGTCATGTGTTGTGCGTTCAATCTAATGAATAATGATCGAAGCGATTCACTCACGACCTGCTTGGGGATTATACTAATTATAGTCCGTATCAGAGAGAGAGAAAGAAATGGGGTTTAACGTCCACTCGACACAAACTAGGTCATTTCGGGACTAACATATGGTTTTTAATTTTATTTCAATAATTCGCTTGCGCGTAGGGGTCTTTAGCAGTGGGAGGAAACCGGAGGACCCGGAGAAAACCCACGAGGTTGGACAGGCGACCCTACTCCTTGTCACGTACAACCGGGGATTCGAAACCACGCTAGTCCGTATCAGATATCTATTACAAGTTTTAAAATACACGTATCAATATCATCCAGTTAATGTTGAATACACCAGGTCATACTCTTTTGCTTCAAAAAAACGAAGAAACAAACGAATAGCCCATTTTTTAATATTTTATTTATTTGAAATTGAACGGGATCTTTCCATAATCTTACTTGTAAGTTGTTTTTCATATTAATGTCATTATGTAAGGATGAAAGAAATTCATTGTTAAATATTGGTTTTAAATGTAGGGTCACTAATTCAGTAATTGTGACTGCTGACTGGTCATACTTTTTGAAGACACGAGTTTAACAAGTTCGCAAACCTTTTAAATTTGCATGAAACTCAAATCTAAATAAGGCCGTTAAAATCCCGGGGTTCTCGGTTTCAAAATCAGTAGTAGTTGCATATGTAAACATAGCTACGAGAACGTAACTAAAAACGTTGAGAGTGAGATATACTGATGTGCTTGTTTTTAGCTACGATTGGATGCCTTTAGTTCCAAATGGCAAACTCAATTTCTTTATTAATGCATGTACCATCTTAAAAATAAGTTAATTTTATACTATTAGTACTTGTTACACATACGCAGTCCAATCTAGTGAAACAACATTCATTTATCAGAAAATATTGGCAATAAAGTAAAGGCAGTAGCTATTGTTACGACGAGTCGTAAAAATAGTCCCCAGGCTATTGTTACGACGATGCTTTCACAGTCCTCCATCGGCGAAGTTAAAAACTGAATAGTCGTAAAAATAGTCCTAACCCTAACCCTCCCCATCTCTGAATTGCTGCCTTTAGAACGTCTGAAAACGTTGAAAATACTGCTCCTTTTTCAAAGCTGGTGTAGGGGAGATTGACAGCCATTTTGGAATTCGTTCTAAACTTGGCTCAAACTCGTCGTAACAATAGCCACTTTGTAAAGTAAATCAAGCGTTGTTTTTATCAAAATTGATTCGGAGGTTCATAATTACGGCGTATTACTACTGCGCAACTCTGATCAGATTAGTACTTTGATTTGCTATTGCACACGAGGCCCCGCCTTTATAGTGTTACAGACGTAAATTTAAAATGTCGGAAAAAGCAATCTACTGTCGCTTTGATTTAAAAAGAGGGATTTGTACCAGTTTCAGGTAGGATTATATGCTTAATTGTAGTTGGGTGTGGCAGAAATATTATAAATAACAATAATCAATCGTTGTTTTGATTAAAAATATTGTCAATTTTGTTTACAAATGCCGGGTGCGAATCGCTCCCGCATGTGCTACGTTGAAGTTAACAGCACCATTTCTTATCTCGAAACACGGAGGGTTGAGAGATAAGGTTTGTTATCTAATGTAAACACTCAACGAGCCAAGTGGATACCAGACAGATGTAGCCAGGCTGCTGAATGTTTCCCAGAGTAGGCCTACCATTTCTCGCCTTTGGGATAATAATAATTTTATATTATTTTCAAACGGTTGAAATTAGGCCAGGAGGCCTGTCTTACATTTTGCCCGTTATAGTAGAAGTTAAAGCAGTTAACAATAAAATTTGAATATAGAACTAGAAGAGAAAAACTAATAATATTAAATTTGAATATAGAACTAGAAGAGAAAAACTAATAATATTAACAAAATCACAACTGAATATAATATAGAGCGAAGCTCTAAAGCATCGCGCGAAGCGCGGTGCTTGAGCAAAGCTCTTTTCCGGTAACACAGGAGCGTAATTGAAAATGTCACCCACAGACTGTTGATTAAAAAAAAATTCAGACAGGAACCGGATACACTGGGGAAAACAGGCAATGCGCATGTCTGTCAATGCGCATGTCAGCGCATGTCAACTTACCAAATCTCGCCCAAGCGAGATTTTGGGTCTCTAAGAAATATTTCTATGACGCGTCGAATAAATGACGTCAGATAATTTTGACGTCAATGAAAATCCTCACACCTTTTTGTTCTTTTTTCAATTGGGGAAACTTTATTATGAAGGTTTTATTTGACAACAATCACATCAGCTTCGCTCTACTCAGGCAAGGCCTGTTACATATTAATAACAATCACACTAATAAAATTATAAAGTTGTCACACACGAATCATCATATTATTATAGAGCGAAGCTCTAAAGCATCGCGCGAAGCGCGGTGCTTGAGCAAAGCTCTTTTCCGGTAACACAGGAGCGTAATTGAAAATGTCACCCACAGACTGTTGATTAAAAAAAAATTCAGACAGGAACCGGATACACTGGGGAAAACAGGCAATGCGCATGTCTGTCAATGCGCATGTCAGCTTACCAAATCTCGCCCAAGCGAGATTTTGGGTCTCTAAGAAATATTTCTATGACGCGTCGAATAAATGACGTCAGATAATTTTGACGTCAATGAAAATCCTCACACCTTTTTTCAATTGGGGAAACTTTATTATGAAGGTTTTATTTGACAACAATCACATCAGCTTCGCTCTACTCAGGCAAGGCCTGTTACATATTATCATTTTATGCTTAGGTAGGGCCTACATGTAAATAGAACAAACTAATTAATGAAAATGACCATAATTATTATATTTCTTCTGACCGCTCGCTACCTACACTTACAGGTACCGACAGCGAAATTCAACACGTGACCGCCCAAGCTCAGGCTAAACATGAGTGACCCCACCACTGATCTATAATGTGGACCCCACCTGCCCTCCATGGATCGTCAGATCCGGTTACGACGTCAATGGCGTAGGATCTCAGACTAGACTGGATAACCTGCTCTAAATGACGTCTGACTGGTTCATACGTCACTGCCATTCGGCAAACCTCGACAGATTCTACGCATTGTAGGGTACCGGAATCTGCCGAGGTTTGCCGAGTGACGTCACTGCGCTATTCTGACTTCGCAAGTCTGCAAAGAATCGAGTGTCGTAGGAGCGAGTCTAACGTATTACATCTCAGACCAGACAGGCATAGACGCCTACGTGAAATCGTATTACGAGCCAGACTTCCCGTTAGAGCTGTTCTTTTGAAATACGCCGACACAGTCAAATCCGGCTTCGATGGGTTCAGACACACAGGGCCACAGCAACGCTGGAGAACAGTTAGGTTCCTGTTGCAACGAGGCGATGGTAGAGCGAGGGTATACCGAGGACGAAATGTCATTAATCACAATGTGATTATAAAAAATATAATGTAACATGACTAGATCTCTTCGATTTTATTTGATGGAATACTTGTTTTTACAAATGTGAAATAAACATAGATCTGTCAAAAGCAAACCTCAAAGAAAATGCACCGTTGTTATCACTAGGCCTACTGTAATAATAATAATAATAATAATAATAAAAACTTTTTTTTCAAAGGGTTGAAAATTAGGCCAAGAAGCCTGTCTTACAGTGTAAGTATATGGTTAATCATTTAGAATTAAATATAACACACAAACACAATCTACATGTACTATTTACTAAAAACGAAATATATAATGAGTCCTCCCTCCTCAAAAATGCTTTTTATGTTATCGCATGGTGGTCGATCCAAAGTTTTATTTTGTACATTAATATTTACATTATTCTCTTCCTCTATATTTTCTAAAGCATGCCTAAATTTTAAAATTGCGACAGTGCCTTATTCAAATTTAAATTTATCTTGTAGCATTTTGTAAAAGAACGTCGGAGTTTCTATTTTGATGCACTTAAGTTACTCTAGCTTTTCTATGGCATATCTAAATTTTAAAATTGCTACAGGGTCTAATTCAAATTTATCCTGTAGCATTTTGTAAAAGAATGCCGGAGCTTCTATTTTGATGCACTTAAGTTGCCATAACAGTTTACCGTCTATGTGCTTAAAGCTTTGGATATCTTTTTCCAACCCATTTGCGCTTAGCCATTCGCGAACGTCTGCTTTCTTCATGTTGTTGAACAATTCTGGTGGACCAGGAGGGGGAATAACCATGATTGAATTCGACGTTCTCGAGACAATTGATGCCGTGATTGAGGGAGATGCAACAATAGCGTGGGATACTGGAGGTGATAGGGTTGCTTGAACGGGTATGCTATTATTAGTGATGTCTAATTTCGGTGTCGGTGAGATACCCCGGGTGCTAGTGATTACTTGCCTATCCAACGATTCAGATGGTGAAGAAGGAGTAGATTCTGGATGCAATCCAACCGTAGAGCTGGGTCGATGTGACAACCCTAGTAGTGCATGATTTTCACTACTATGTTCTTTCGGTATTTCTGGAGTAACGGGGGAATTAGCGGTGCTCTGAAGGATTCCTTGTTTACTTAATTCTCTAAGAAGTTTTGTAAAACTGTCTTCAAATTCAACTTCACTCTCTCCACTAAAATCAAAGTATAATCTGGTGCCAATGACCGCTCCCAACCATCCGTCTGGGTGGTAGGGATTTTGCATGTATAAAGGTATAAATCCCTTCTTTCGTTTATAGGCATAACCTGCTTCCGTGTGACAACACTGGCTTTGTTTATAACCTTCCGAGACGCAGATGATGACTACGGCTGAATTTTCTACAGCTGAAGACATTGCATCCAAAATATCCCCAGACATTCGATCGATATCTATCCAAACATTGTAACCGGTCTCCGTTAAATTCTGCCAAATTCTCCTAACGGTTTCTTGATCATCCCAACAGTAACTTATAAAGAGGTGTCTAGGTTTTGACGGATCTATAGCATTGGGATGCTCTTCTTCTCCCTTATCAAACAATACCCACAGCGCCCCTTTAACATTCTGCAGTAGCTCTCTATTTGTCTCTTCTTTCTCAAGTCGTTGTAGCGTGGAAACGAGTTCTTTGTATTCTCTAATCTGTTTTCTGGCCTCCTTTTTAAAGGCTAAAGTCCACACACATTTTGCGGCATTAATCTGTTGTTTAATATCTGCACTGTTCAGCATTCTGAAAAAAGCTTTCAGTGCTTTCCCTTCGATTATTCTTTCGGCGTTTCCATCTACAGCCAGTTTGTCCAAAGCATAAGCAAGTTCCGCAGCAGTGAATCCTTCCTTAAGCCGATGAAATTCGTCATTCATTATAGCAATGTTCATCCAGTGGATAATGGTACGGATCGCGTCAGGATCTTCAGTTACTTTTTGTGCTTCTTTCGCATCAACGATGAAAGCCAAGGTACACAGTGCAAGAACTTTTAGGTAATTGTCATTGGAAAACTTAAACTCAAAAACAATTTTCGTGGCATTGTATTTTTTAAAAGATTCCTTGTTCTTGGGTCTTCGAGCAATGTTGCACATGATAGACAAGGTTGCTCTTATGAGATAATATTGATTGGTATTTTTTTCTGGATTCTTATTCGGAAACTTTTTCAGATTCTCAAGGAGCACGTGTATCAGATTAGCTTTGGCTAAATCATGAGCGAATTCGTCACTGGCGTCAGAATAATTCCAAGCGTTATCCATTACATGTCGACTTGTCTTCGCTAGGGTTGGACTTGTTAGATTTCTTAATCCTTCAGGGAAATATCCTCGATCAGACAGACTCGTCATCATGTTTACTGTACAGACAGAATATCCACAATCGGCTAACACATTTCCAATTGCTCTGCGATAATGCCATGTCTTTTTCTGATAGTACATCTGTCGTAGCTTATGCAAGGAAAAGAAACTCTTCACTGGATCAGTTTCGTTCTTTCGTATTTCTTCAATAAGTTTTCTTACATCCTGTAGCAAAGTTTCCGGGGCCTCACGCTGTGTTTCAATAATCTCCTTTTCATCTCCGCCACTTTCTACCTCTGCATCTACATCCGTAACGGAAAGGTTTGTAACACTCATAACACTAATTCACCTATAAAAGGGTAGCGAAGGGTCCAACAATAAATGTCTTCACACACAGTATAGCTTAATTCTGAAGTTAATCAATCAAAACACAACCGCCATTGCAGGAGGGGCCTCATTTCCTGTCATTAAGAAACATGTTCGACCGTGTCTTCCTTCCATGAAAAGCGCCATATTCACATATTGTTGAATAAATGGCTGGTTAACCGTTGCATTAATTCTCGATAAACCGAAACTGAATGTAGCGTTAACATTACAGCACTGAGTCCTAAATAAAAACTATGGTGGCTGATAGTGGCCATGTAAAATCACGCCATTAGTATCACTGTTGACTTGATAACATTGACTTAAGGAACCTAGTCATTAAACATGCATTATGCAAGAGCAAAATCTGCTTATTACAAGTCTTTCTTTAGGCCTGAAATGTTATCTAAATTATCAATTAGACATTAATTAACTTATCCAGACCATAATAAACTCTCGATGTCAAGGCTAGCCTTCGATGTTGGCTGGATTTGATTCCTATATGCCGCTAACGGCCGTTGATAATTAAATCAGAAAAAGTGGATAATCGAGACTATGCTGTTTATATTAATGATTTTAGTAATGATGACCGAGACTATGCAAAAATTTCACCCGCTTTTTCTCGACTCATAGTGGATCAATTTGACTGAAATTTTCAGCAAATTACCTTTACACTATCTAGTTTTTAACTATTATAGCGAGAACTGCCATTTCTTTATCTTATCTCCCATAATGTATCTTTAAATCTCAAAAGTTATCATTACTGTTAACTAATGTTTAGTATTTATATATATAAATTACATGTAGTTAGACATTATACAGTAGTCAATAATTAGCAGGGCCATGTGTGCAACTAGCTGTAAAATATATGTTACTACTTGTGTAGAAGCGTGACTTTTTATAATACCCATCACATCTATCGAATACACAAACCTGGCTAATAGTGGTGAATATCATTCAATAGTCACGATTTAACACCTTAGTGACATAATGTAACACCTACTTAAAGATACATTATGGGAGATATTTATAGAGAGTTGGCCATTCTTGCTATTACAGTTCAAAAGTAGATGATGAAAGAAGAATATATTGAAAAATTCAGTCAAATTACTTTATTCTGAACATAGTTATCATCGTTGTAATATTTGCCTAGAAATGGTAGCGAAATGTGTCTTCACCTTCGCTGAAGGTTTGATTGACAGGCGTTAACTCCACCTACATATCTCGATTATCAAGTAAAGTTTTCAATGGCATACGGAAACGCTGAGTCGACCCTAAGTCCAAATCAAATAGTCAGTCGAATAAACCGGTCGATGGCTTATTAAAATTTTGGAATCGTTTGTAATCAGTATAAGTTAAAGAAAAAACGCACTAATTCCAATATCTTTTATCATTGTTTTTGGTTTTTTTTACGTCCCCTCATGTTCAAATTTGATTGTTCAAATTAAAACTTTAAGGTGTTATCTTAGTTATTGCCACCGCGGCTTAATAAAGTCATGCTTTACTTTTTCCCTCATCCCCATATGCCCCCATCTTTTAAGTGCACGCCAATGTGTACACGGGACCTCGGTTTTTCGTCCCATCCGAACGACTAGACATCTGTCCTTGTCCACCTCCAAAAGAATAGAGTCCCTATATATGATATGTTGGGTTAGGGGGGGCGTATGGGGATGAGGTATTTGACATTATCATGTGGCATCGTCCAGTCGATAAAATCAGTCAGTTAGTTCAGTCGATAACTTCAATCAGTTAGTTCAATGCTCGTCCCGTCCGAACGACTAGACAGCTGTCCTTGTCCGCCTCGAAAAGAATAGAGTCAATATATATGATATGAACGTGGAAAGGGGATGCGATGGGGCGGGGGTGGGGGGGGCGTGTCGGTATGGGGCGTGTCGGTATGATATATTTGACATTTTCATGTGGCGTCGTCCAGTCGATAAAATCAGCCAGTTAGTTCAGTCGAATAATCCAGTCGAATAAACCAGTCGAATAAACCAGTCGAAAAGTTCAGTCGAATACTTCAGTCGAATAATTCAGTCGAATAAACAAGTCGCTCAATATTAAGCAGCGGTGGCAGCGGGCTAAGATAATTAGTAGCAAATCATGCTCAGAGCCATAGCTGAAGGAGCAGGGGGCATGGGGTAGGGACCGGGGGGCTTCCCAACTAGTTTCAAGAAATGAAAAGAAATGAAATGGGGTTTTAACGTCCTACTGTTCTGCTTGGAACTGGGCTAATGAAGACGGGCACACGCCATACACTGTGCTATGAGGGAAATTTTGCCCGGACAGCGGCACTACGGCCTACTCTTATATCGAATTCCATCTGTCAAAGGATCTTTTACGTCCACGCCAATGTATACACGGGACCTCGGTTTTTCGTCCCATCCGAAAGACTAGACAGCTGTCCTTGTCCGCCTCGAAAAGAATAGAGTCCCTATATATGATATGAACGAAGAAAGGGGGTGGGGTGGGGCGGGGGGGGGGGGGGGATGAGGTATTTGACATTTACATGTGGCCTCGTCCAGTCGATAAAATCAGTCAGTTAGTTCAGTCGAATAATCCAGTCGAATAAACCAGTCGAATAATTCAGTCGAATAAACAAGTCGCTCAATATTAAGCAGCGGTGGCAGCGGGCTAAGATAATATAGTAGCAAATCATGCTCGTAGACATAGCTGAAGGAGCCGGGGGCATGGGGTAGGGACCGGGGGGGGCGTATGCCCGTCTTCATTAGCCCAGTTCCAAGCAGAACAGTATGACGTTAAAACCCCATTTCATTTCTTTTCATTTCTTGAAACTAGTTGGGAAGCCCCCCCGGTCCCTACCCCATGCCCCCGGCTCCTTCAGCTATGGCTACGAGCATGATTTGCTACTAATTATCTTAGCCCGCTGCCACCGCTGCTTAATATTGAGCGACTTGTTTATTCGACTGAAGTATTCGACTGAAGTATTCGACTGAACTTTTCGACTGGTTTATTCGACTGAACTAACTGACTGATTTTATCGACTGGATGAGGCCACATGAAAATGTCAAATACCTCCCCCCCCCCCCCGCCCCACCCCATCCCCTTTCTTCGTTCATATCATTATATAGGGACTCTATTCTTTTCGAGGCGGACACGGACAGCTGTCTAGTCTTTCGGATGGGACGAAAAACCGAGGTCCCGTGTATACATTGGCGTGGACGTAAAAGATCCCTTGACAGATGGAATTCGATAAAAGAGTATGCCGTAGTGCCGCTGTCCGGGCAAAATTTCCCTCATCGCACAGTGTATGGCGTATGCCCGTCTTCATTAGCCCAGTTCCAAGCAGAACAGTAGGACGTTAAAACCCCAATTCATTTCTTGAAAGTAGTTGGGAAGCCCCCCGGTCCCTACCCCATGCCCCCGGCTCCTTCAGCTATGGCTACGAGCATGATTTGCTACTATATTATCTTAGCCCACTGCCACCGCTGCTTAATATTGAGCGACTTGTTTCATCGACTGAATTATTCGACTGGATTATTCGACTGAACTTTTCGACTGAATTATTCGACTGGTTTATTCGACTGGATTATTCAACTGAACTAACTGACTGATTTTATCGACTGGACGAGGCCACATGAAAATGTCAAATACCTCACCCCCCCCCCATCGCATCCCCTTTCTACGTTCATATCATATATAGGGACTCTATTCTTTTCGAGGCAGACAAGGACAGCTGTCTAGTCTTTCGGGTGGGACGAAAAACCGAGGTCCCGTGTATACATTGGCGTGGACGTAAAAGATCCCTTGACAGATGGAATTCGATATAAGAGTAGGCCGTAGTGCCGCTGTCCGGGCAAAATTTCCCTCATAGCACAGTGTATGGCGTAGGCCCGTCTTCATTAGCAAATCATGCTCGTAGCCATAACTGAAGGATCCGGCGGCATTGGGTAGGGGCCGGGGGGCTTCTCAACTAGTTTCAAGTCTTAAGTGATACATGTACTTTAGATACTAGTATTTTCGCTCCCACGCACAGGGCCCCTCCCATTCCACCAACACCCCGTTTCTATGGTCATATATAGGGACTATACGTTTCGAGGTGGGGGCCGACAATATTAGTATCTACTTAAGTACAGTTATCTCCTGCGACGGGTGAGGACCAAACCCCGCCCAAGCCCTCGGCTCCTACAGCTATGGCAACGAACATTGAGCTACTCAATATTATCTTGGTTCGCTGTTGGGCTGTTTTTCCGACTGGTTTCATCGACTGAAGTATTTGACTGATTTTATCGACTGAGATATGTGTGGGATTTTATCGTCTGGACGAGGCCACGTTAAAATGTCAGATTTATGTAAGATGAATCATTACTTGGAAAGACCTAGGAAACCTATATACTACATGTAATTGGGGATCCGATTTATAGGAAGTTATAAGTTGTTTAATTGTTGCTGTTATGTAGGCACTATTTGCTCCTGAAATAAAGTGTTGAAGATCCAGTCCAAGAATCTGTATTCATTTCTGATCCTAAGAGAACACACGTTGAAGAGCTACATTCCCTGCTAGTCAAATTGTACATAATATATTGAAGAAGAAGGCATGGATATCAACTTTATTCTTCCTTCAGCAGCAGTAGCAGCAATAAGAAATCTTGATCAACTATCAGTGTCTTGGAGTCTCCAACAAGGGTTTAAATGGGCTTTAAAAGGGACTTCTCAGAAAATTAATTACCCAGTCCGGAAAAGAAATATCGTTCTTTTGTCCAAAAACAAAGGGATAGACAGCGACAGCTGGAATTTTTTGCAAAGAAGGGTGTCCAAAAAGTACAGGTTTCTGTGACCTCCAGTAAAAAGGATGCGGGTGTTCAAAATGTTCTGGATACTAACGATGTATCTTTTTTTTAATAACCTTGTGTTAATGGTGTCATCCTGCCAATTGCCATGATAAAGGTTGCAGCCATGCGAGATGTTTCAAGTTTTAGTGCCAAATGCACCAGCCGTCAAGACTCAAGATCACAGATTTAGACATGTTAGGCCTTACAGCAGGAATCCTTTGTACAGGAATAGAAATTATTATCGTGAAAATAGTTATAGATTATGTTATTTTGAATAATGGAAAAATAAGGATTTTGATTGTATTAATGATTAAAACATGGGGTCATGTTTTTGTTTGAAATAATTTTAAGGTGGATACACATGACTAATGTATAGGTCATATGTTATTTTATTATTGTTCAATTCTATTTTTAATTTC